CGTCTGCTGGGTGTGCTTCGCAAGGCTCATAGTAAAGCTTGTTCTGCAGCGCGTGGCCTGGGTAAATCAGATGTTGTCGCAAGTCAGGTCGGCTCTCTAACTATGTCTTCGTCGTCGGCACAACCACCCTTGTTTCAGTGAATAGATACCCGCGCGGTGTCGAAGAAACTGAATCAACAAGCACGACGAAGAACCACGAGCTTAACACCAAGTCTGTTCCCAGTGCCAAATGCATATGAGAAGCACTTCCCACTCCTCGGCGTATTTTCGGATTCCGTCGGGAGTGAATCTAGCTCCAAACATACGCAATCTCAACCCTGTGCGAGAGCTCTAAACCTTGCGAAACCATATCGTCACACTGTCGCATCGACCATGGAAAGGAGGTGCCTTGCCAAGATTCAAAGGAGAGCACCAGCCACGACTTCCACACCGAGAGCAGCAGCTCGGCCACTTTTCATCCTGGCGAACTCTGTCGATTAAAATCCCTTGCCCCTTTCCGTAGTTCAAACATACCGCGTCCTTACCATTCTACTGCTACTGCAAATGCCAACGGTAATGCTAGTTCTTCTGCCAATACTAATGCCACTGCCACTGCTGCTGCTGTTGCTAAGACTGCTGCTACTACTGCTACTACTGATACTACTACTCCTACGACGACGACTACTACTACAACTGCCACCACCACCACTACTGCCACTACGACGACGACTAGCACTGCTGCTGCTAGTACTACCACCGCCAGCATCGTGGTGGTCCGGTAGTGGTAGCGGTAGTGGCCGGAGAGCTGAATAGCAGCATCGAAAACAGAGCATGAAGTCGTACTGCGATGATGTACGGCGGCCACAAACGACTCAGACAGCTTTCGCATCTCTTGCCATTCCACCTGGTCTGTCGTGTTGCTCTCGGCTCGTCGCAGCTTCGGCTTCAGCTGCATCCTCGTCTCTGGGTGTAGACCCATGTCAGCATCACACGAAGCTACTCAGAGACCTCTCAGAGACTTGGCTATGTGTCTACTAATATACTATACCTCCATCAGCCCAGGCTCAGCAACACACCCGAATCCTTGCGCCCCTTGGGGCAGGTTCCTCAGAGCTCATGGTGCAAGGCAGTTTCAACCACATGGCTGCGCGACTTGGGATGCTGCCATCAGCACACTTTGATGATGGCTGGGAAGTCTGCGCGATGCCTCAAACTGCATAGACCCTGTCAGAATGGCTTACGTGGCGTTGCATGTGTCTGGCCAAGGAGCTTATGAGGCTCAAGCACCAGAGAACCAAGCCTGGGCTGGGGATGCTTGCCAAGACTATCATTCGTCCCGGATGCCAGGCTGGAAACAGAGCCGACTGTGCCGTACATGTCCTTCTGTTGGCCAGGCCATTCCTAAGCTTCAACATCTCTGCATCCAGGCAGGGCAGGAGGCAGGCCCCTTGGCTCAAAACCACGATTGCAACAAGCAGCCTGGCTCGGCTGCAGCTCGAGAGGCATGCAAACCCAGCTGAGACGTTGCTCTGCCGGCTTTGGGCCAGCGCGGCGTCAGTTGGCACAGCAAGTGTCGTTACACTACACATCGGCAAACGCCGCAGTTCATCGCAGTTCCAAAACGGTCCTCGAGAGGCACACAGAGACTCTTGGCCCCCATCTTCAGACCGCCAGCCACCTCAACTTCTGCTGCCTCGAGTGGTTTCGACAGTGGCTTGAGTTGAAAGGCTGCTCCCGTCCAATTGTGCCTCCTCCTTGGACTTGTCCTGCCAGATAGGTCTGTCGGGACCCACGAGACCAGAGACGAGAAGCTCAACTGGCACCCGGCTGCGGGGTCCTTGATTCCTTCCTCACACTCCTTTACTCCACAGAAAGGCACCATGACCATCTTGCCTTCATTCAAATTCGGACTGAAGTCCTGCCGCATGCAACGCTCGAAGCGTCCAGGCTGCTTTCAACATGGAACACTCTCACAACGAAGGTCTAGTCGGTAAAGCAGGATCTGTGCAGTTTGCCATCTTGCCATCAGGAAGCAGTCCTTCCACTCGGAAATGGTTGACAAACGGCTATCCCGTTCAGCCAGGGCTTTGGAATAAAGCTCGTTGTGTATGTCATCCAGCGTTCCTTGGCCAGACATGCATCCTCCCGCAACCATTTAGATCCGTTGCAACAGTAGCGAAGCCAGTGAGAATATCTGGCCCAGCTGCTCTTCACATCATCTTCGAGGGAGTCGTGCTTGCCGATAACCTTACCCGCCTGGGCCCGAATTTCAGGCACGCATTCAACTAGCACCTATTCCATGGCTTGATTCGGGCCTTCTGATCCAGAATGTTTCGTTTTGCCAACACGAACTCACCTGAAGCAGACACTCAGGCTATTGTAGCAGCATGAAACCCCGCCCATTGATCGCCTTTTTGAATGTCGAGCGGGCCCAACTCCATCCTCAAAGGCACCCCCTTCATCTCCCAGTTGTTGAACTTCCATCCAGGAGAATTGGTGTTATCCTGAGAGCAGGGGTGGCGGAGGATGTCTGCGCACCGTCTGGCACAGGCTGAGGCTATAACGTCGTCTAGGAACACGCGGACTCCGGCTGCCCTCAGCCTCTTTGTGTAAGACTGAGAGACCTGGAGCACGGCTTAGGCTGTAGGTCACTGCTTGTGACATCTCAAAATTGCAAAAACCATCCCAAATTGAGTTCCCTTGACATGCCGCCGTGGCACATCCGCCAACGACTTCTTGTCTTCCTCTGTGCTGCTCGCCTTGATGCCCAGCGGCACAATGACGACCTGCTGCGGGGCTAACACGCCGCCTTGAACAGTCTCTCTCGCTCTTTCTGTCTTTCGCCAGGGCTGTCTCTCTCGCTCTCTCTCTCTCTCTCTCTCTTGCTTGCTGGCTTGCCTGCTTGCTTGCATGGGATGTAGGGGCTGCGGACAACCCCTTGGCCCGAAGGCCTACCCCACAAGGGGTGCTCGATCCGGTGCCAGTTTGACCCCTTCCGGGTGGCGTGTGCGTTCCCCCCGAATGATCCTGCCTTGCTCGGGGTTAGAGCTACGAGCAGTCCTTCTTCTGCAGGGCATGAGGGGTGTGCGGCCACCAGCCCCCACCTCCCTGTTTGTGCGGGTTTTGGAGGAGTATGAAGATAGGTTGTTTCCCCCCGGTTCGGCAAGACTAAGTATAGGAGCAGTCCTCTTGCTTGCTTGCTTGGTGAGGGGTAGGGGCCTCCGGGGAGACCCTGGCCCGTAGGCCTACCCCCACAACGGTTCGCGGCGGTCTGTCTTCAAGGCCCCTTCCGGGGATGAGCGATTCTCACGTTCCCCCAGATATGCCTGATACCCCCACAGAACACCACACACATGAACCTAAGACCACGACCATGTAAACCCATCAGGCTGTACCTGAGCAGTCCTCTCTTTCTCTCTCTCTTTTCTTTCGCCTTTCTGCAGGGCTGTGGTGGGGAGTTGCCCCCCGCCTTTGCACGGCTTTGCTCGGGGTGTAATTAGGCAAGAGGCAGTCCCCCTCTCTCACTCTCTCTCTCTCTCTCTCGCTCGCTCGCTGCAGGGATCTCTCTCTCTCTCTCTCTCTCTTGCTTGCTCTGGGTGCAGGCACGCCGGCGTAAAGGCCAACCCCTCCTCAGTCCGCGTCGGTAAGTCTGACTCTCTCTCCCTCTCTCTCTCTCTCTCTCTCTCTCTCTCTCTCTCTCTCTCTCTCTCTCTCTCTCTCTCTCTCTCTCTCTCTCTCTCTCTCTCTCTCTGCCAGGTAGAAGGAAGGCAGCGGACGCTACCCTCCTTGCACGCGAACGCGCACCTGCAGTCCGCAGGATTTGGTCAGTCCCCCAATGACTTCGTCAAAGAGGGCTCGGCTATACTTTCAGCCACGTCCCCCTAAGCAGTACCGCAGTACGTTGCAAACATCACAACACAACCTAGTAACACGCAAAGCCTATCGTCTGCTCTCCCTCTCTCTCTCTCTCTCTCTCTTCCGGGCTTGGGGATCACGGCAGCGTCCAGGCCGATCACCCCGTGCGCGCACGCACACCCGCTTGTTGCGGGAGGTCTGACTCCTTCGGAGGTTTTCCCCCGAAGGCTCGGCTGTACGAGCATCGGGGTTCTCCGCACTGCTTGTCAGACGAAAGTCAGTACACTACAAACAACGGTAGCAGTGCGGTTCCCCCCTGTTGTCCCCCGGTCTCGGCTACGTGAGCTTGGGGGTACCACTTCATCTAAACAGCAAAGAGGTGCGGTAAAGTTCATGTGGTTCCCCCTTTTCTGGCAGTTACTCGCAGCACTCGAAACTACATGTAACATCGGAAAACTTCCCCTACAACTGCAAAACAGCAACTGCGCGCTCACTGTCACTCTGAGGCCCGGGCCGAAAAGGCTGTAACACAGTGCAAGGCTCTCTCTCTCTCTCTCTCTCTCTCTTTCTCTCCCGAGTGTAGCGGCCGATCAAAGCCCCCGGGCACTAAGCCCACCCAACATGTTGTCGGCAACCCTTGTTGCATCGGGAGAAGCATGGGTCGTGGGCCTGTCTCAGAAAGCATACGTACATCCTCATTCAGTCCCTCCCCTGCTCGGCACCTACATCCCTAGCAGACCCTAGATTACTGCTGGCTTCCCTCTCTCTCACTCGGAGACGGCTGGAAGCCTGGTATCCAGCCACGCTTGGTGGCAGCACGAGCCCTTTGTCGTCGCCATGAACCATGACCTTGGGCCACAGAACCCACCGAGAAGCCATTAACACAAACTCAAGAATACTTGCGCGGGTCTGAAGGAAGCCCCCGGCCATCACTCCAATAGTTCGTTGGGTGAGGCCCCAGGAGTTTTGGTACGCATGCTCGACCGCAGAGCCTGTGGGATCCTTCGGATCCTGTTGGGCAGTGCATAAAGAGTGGCGATGAGCGTCATGTTCTGCTGGAGGCTAGGGGCCTGAAAGGCAATGTTGAACATCTTCGAGAAGTTCTGGCCTGTGCAATCCGTCGAGGGCTCACAAGCGACTCAGATCACAACACGGTGGCGCTGCAAAACATGCTTGCGCCTAAGTGATGTGAGGTCGCCTTGGCAGCGGAAACTCAAATCCAAAAACACGCCGGTTATGATGGCATGACATTACCCGTTGACCCTCTCGGTCCAGCGACGCCCTGGATTGCGCGGCCCGTAGCTGGAATAAACGCCTGCCGGCTGGGCAGAAGCGGAAGCACGTGGTCCTGCACGCGCTTTCGTTGCTGCCTCTACCGTCGTTGTGTAGTCAGCGCCGGGGAAGGTCTCAGCCTGACAGCATATGTGGATTCAGTACGCCGGTCAGCTCCTGCCAACTGTGCAGTGGAGGAAGGCCTTCGTTTTCGTCCCACGCACCACTGGGATGGCCAAAAGCTCCTCGCCGTATCTCAGGACCCTTGTACAAAAAAATCATCCCAACGCGCAAGTGAGTATTCACGTGTCTGGAGATGGAGGCTCCGACGGCTTCAAAACGAAGATTCAGGAGGGGCCTCGTAGACACGAGCATAGAGCTCTAAGATATCCAACACCTCCTTCTCCGCATCGGCCTGGCACCGGAACGAACGGTTGACTTGCATGACTGGCTTCTTCTCTTTTTTTAGCCCTTCCCTGGGCTACCGGATGCTCTGCCAACTGGCCTTCTCTGCATACGCGGTGTGGCCCTCTTGCCACAAGAACTCACGTGTTCGCAGAAACGGAGTAGTCTGCTTGACCTCCCACCGGACGACACTGCACCACCTGGGTAGCATGCAGCGAAAGAATTTCAACGAGTGGTGCATTCAGTGCTGTCAATGTTCCACATCTCCGTTGCGGCTGAGCTGCTGGTTCAGCTTGAGGGGCAAATCCCTGTGTGACTGCACCCAAGTCGAAAATGCCGCGTACATGGCGGTCTCGCTTGTTGGCCTGACCCCAACATTGATTTACCTGCCTATTGCGTTCTTGCACAAGTTTTCCAATGCACATGTGCAACTAAATATGTACTGTGCATTGCGTTGCAAATAAGCTTAGGAAGCCTGGCCTAATCGCCACCGGCTCGTCAATTTCCTGATGCGGAAGATGCACAATTCCAACTCTCAAGAAGGGTCCCACTCTGCAGATGCTTTTGGAAACGAGTTTGGAAACTGACGTCTGGCCTCGTTGCCGAACTTGGTCACCATCGCCAGCTCCGGTGCAAAGTCATCCAAGTGGTCGCTCTCCTTCTCCATGTAACACTTCGGAATGAACCTGGATTTGCAGTGGCTGTATCAGCGGGTGCTTTCCGGCATCCCTCGTCACTCGTCTCAGGCCCTTACATGGGGAAGTAGCAGTTCTCGACCTGGTCGGCACACCAAACCCACGGCCGTGGCCTCGCCCCGTTGAACTCGCCATTTTAGTCAAGGCTCTCCCAGGATCTTGATTTGTGTGTCCAACCATCCCTGACACCAGAAATCATAGGAATCGTTTTTCGCCATCTGCGCAATTCTGCGAAGCTGCCTGAATCTGCTCCCACAGCTTGTAAGCCCACGGACGGAGAATGAAGCAGCCTTTGACCTCGGAGGAGCATCCGTCGAGCCGACCCTTCACAAGATCGGCTGAGGTTCTGGCTGGGTACTTTTCAATCAGTTGGCCCTTGCCGATCACCTGCCAACTCTGCACACAAGGCCGGAGCTCCGAGGCCTCAAGTTCTGGCGCTCTACATTACTCTAAATGCTCACGAATTGGTTAGGAGGTGTCAGAACGAAGCATAAGAGCCCTGGAAGCGACCGTCCAGAATTATTTTACTTCGAACATCCCCACTCCTACACGCAAATCCTAAGACCTAAAGAACCCGAGCCTAAACCTTAAACCCTGGTGTTCCCGAGCACTCCCGCGTGCCGCCACGCTGCAGCCGACAACCCTGGTATATTCCCAAGCACTCCCGCGGGCCGCCATGCTGCGGCCAACACAGCAAGATTAGGGCTGATGTTTCACACGCGTTGTGATGGAGGCTTAGGTGTGGAAAGTGTGTTTGTATAGCACAAGATGTTGTACAAAATATGACAGAAGAGTACGTGTGGAATCTGCTTGTGACAAACGAGTCCGATGCATTATGAATTAAGCCTCGAGGCTGCGAGGCCCCGGCAGATTCCAAAGTTGGGATTGGGCCCTCCAGGAAATCTCACGGTGGTCTGTGGGGAACAAAAAAAGAAAAACACGGGGGTGAGGAAAGAGACGGCGGAAGAGTCTGGAAACCAGAGCGGGAGCGGGTAGAATTCCACTTTACATCATTTTCACGGAGGAGGTACGCTACTCACTCTCCCCCACGGACCAACTTCGCCAGCATGCCGAAAAACAACAGCTTGCCTCCGCGTACCAGTCCGGAACGCTTTCTGCCTTCTTTACCACCAAGCCGCCGCCCTTGGCCTGCTGCTTGGAAGCAGCCTTGGGCATAGAAAGATATCTTGTGATTGGCGCGTCGGTATCCTCAGCTCCTTCTTTGCATGCAAACCGCCTCCTTCTTCGGTGCAGCTTGCTTGGCTTCCTTCTTTGCTGCAGGCTTCTTGGCCTGTGCAAGGCAGATGGCTCCCTTCAACTCAACTGCCCCCAGCCAGCCGCCTGGCCCCACCGTTCCCGTCTTGCCTCTGCCGCTTTGGCTTTGGCGGCTTTCTCTTCCTTCTTCTCTTCCTTCTTCACCTCATCGCCTGGAGTGCCGGTTGCAACAAAGGCTGAGTGCTTTCGATGGGTGCAGCTGCAGTAACTTACGGTCTGTGGCTGGGGATGTTCCAAGTTCACACTTACCGGCATTGCAATTAGTGGTGCGATGGATTTGGATTTGCATGTGAGGCAATGTTGTCCATTCCGTGATCCCGTGGGCAGTAGAAGCAACATGGTGTCACCTGCTTGACAATCCGGCCTGAATGCCGAGTACCCTCGTCCAGTAGACCGTATCATTGTGTAGTTAAACATGCATGTGATTTGCCGTACGCTCCCCTAGCCTTGAGGGGCATATCCCTCCATCTTCCGCAAAGTGAAACACCCTAAGACCACATCAAGGCTGCCGCAGCTTTGAGCCCACCATGCGGGGCGGCAAGTTTTGATCTTGATTGGTCATCTAGCATTTAACCCGCCGATCTGTATAGATTGCAAATAGGGGGCCACTACCGCATGGCAAGACAAATCGCTCGTCCAAGGACAAAGTTGGAAGTGCTGGGACTCGGCGTTCGGCAACGTGGTCCGAGAAAGCTGTTCTTTCAAGTTAAGCTTTGCGGCAGAAACAATCAGTTGTGTACGTTTTGCCCTCTCTAGCCGCTGTTTGCGGAACTGTGGGCCTATAGGCCTATAGGCTATAGGGTTTTAATCTCGACTCCATCCGCTTATGCCCTTATAAAAGTGCACAGCCGAGCCCGACTCACCGCTGGTTTTGCTTGGCGCTGCATCGGCCTAAGTCATCGCCTACAACTACTAACACTATCTAACCATCTTATCTCATAACCTGGCCAGTTTTTCAGCTGCCAGGAAGAGACAGGATCATCGCACCCTCGTCAAGATCCAAGAGGCCCAACTACGCTGTTGCTGCAGGAACTACATGTCGGGGGCTACTTCCCGAATGGTTGAGATCTTTGAGGAGGGCACAGTCTCTAAATATGTCCTTATGCACAATTCGGCAGCAGCATCACACAGCCGCAGCTGCCTGGAGGTCGGCGGACACTGCCTCCGGGAGTGCACCGAAATCCTAGCTAGAGGTAGCAAATGCCTTCGTCATCGGACACCGATATGAGTGCCTTGTAGAAGGTAGCATTTGAAGTCAACTGCCAACATGAATTTGCAGCTTGCCAGGCCTCCCAAACGTCGGACCCAGCGCCTTGGGCACACTCCGCCACCCCGGGATCAAAGTGGTGAAGCAGCACCTGATTGCATTCCCAAGACGCTGAGTCAACATCACAGTGTCACAACAACGGCAGGGAGCACTGAATCTGAACACAACAGCCAATTGCCAACAACAGTGGCTCAAGCCTCTGGGGGAGAGTCTCCCAGCATCTGCAAGGCTGCCGCCTTGGAGACATCCACGGCGCTTCGGGAATAAAACCGAAAAACAAGACTGACACTGGGTTCCAGACTGCAGCCTGCGAGTCATCACCCCGCTTTCGTCTTTCCAGCTCCAGCCTAAACATACATTGTCATCGCACTCAAAGGGCAGGTTCGCAGGCTGGCGGCTCTACAGACGAAGTGCAAAGAGCGGGACTTAGGCTTGTCCGTGAAGCCAACGCTGCCCTCATGACAAGCTACTCTGAGTGTGGAGCTCCCGTCTCCTCAGTTCGCTTGCACGAGCATAGTCCTGCTTGCAGGGGGCGACCGACTAATTACATGCGATCCACGATGTGGTGCAGACTCAGGCTCATTTCAAGCAGCTGCACGGCAGATCAGGTCAGTGGTGTTGAAGCTGCTTCTGTGGCCCAGACCTCCAGCTCAACGGCCTCCTGTTTCTGACGCTTGACCGTCTGTAGTTCCTGCCGACATGCTCTCCGCCGCATGTCATGTGCCGACACGGACGGGCATGACCTCCTCTTCCTGGTTCCTCAGTCTCTTCCGCTCTTCTGTGTCGGCCTCTGCGACAGGTATAACGGTAAAACCCAGTCCGACTCGACGAGCACGTGTCCCCAAACGCCTCTTCGTTGGCGGCTGGCGCATCCTTGCAAGCCTGCGTGGAGCCAATGACGTCGCAAACGTCGGCAGAGTCGGCATCATGTAGTTGCTGAGGAACGGGCCAAGCACGATTGCCGAGCGGCTGTAAGCCGCAAGGTTGCGGCAGGCTCCCGCCTCAAAGCAGAATGGTGCGTATAAGTTACCTTCACCGTTTGTTGAAGCCCACATTATTAATTATTATACCCGCTGTTGAGGCGACGGCTGCTTCAAGCGGTGAGCCAGATCAAAGTCTTCCATCTCCACCGCCTGACAGCACGAGCAACACCTCAGCAGGTCTGTGCCACACGAAAAAGGACCGCTGCCTTGCGCTTCCGGCATTGAAGAAGCGAGACTTCAATCATCCGAAGCGACCTCGGGCAGCACTCATAGCGGTTCGTGCTACACTCTTACACTGTTACACACCTTCCTAAAACATCCACGAGGACCGATCCATTTGCGCAGAGCTTCTACGCCGCCCTGCCATGCACGTAGCCCTCTGACTAGCTCAAGACTCTCCCACAAAGTTCCATGCCCTGCCTCCGCAGCAGCTTCGTCTTTGACCTCTCCTGCATCGCCCAGCCTGAAGCTTGGACTAACAGACTCAGCTGCTGCCAAAGCTGCGCTTCTCGTGCTTAGATCACTGCTCTGCTTTTCTGCGCTTTGCTTCAGACTCGGATACAGCGACAATGACCTCGCAACTGGTGTTGCCAAGTGCTGGGATTCAGCAGGAATCAACGAGAGAGGGTGCTGAAGCCTCGTTGCGGCGACGACCCAGTCTTCAGCAGCGTAAGACCCAGACTGGTGCGGAAGGCGGCATGGGTGGGAAGACAGGCTTGTCCTCTCTTTGCCAACGTGTGCAGACTGGCATCGAAATAGGGCTGCAGAGTGACCAAACGAGCCTCGGTCGCTTCGCATGCGACGCCTTCCTTGGAAGCTGGACACTCCGAGCGGAGCTGCACAGCCGCGGCACAGCCAGGAGTCGACGGCTGAGGCTGAGGCCGTGCTCATCTGGAGGAAGTCGAAACTGTCAGGCTCCGGCGCAGCACCGGCGGCCTCTGGACCAGTAGGAGTACCCTGCATTGCCGCCATCGCCTTCATGGTCACCCCCGGCCTGCGCCTGCGGCAGGCTGAGGCGGCTCAGGATTTCCTCAGCCTCTGAAAGTCGGCGAGGGTCCACGCCTTGCCAGGGCCAGGGCTGCCAAAGCTCCGCTGCCTTCTTGCGGCATCTGGGGCGTCCCGCCAGCTTGCTGCGCCTCGTCGTATGCTGCCCGATATGTGGCCTCGTCTTCCTGCCCGCAGGGGGCCGCAGGGATGACTATCGTCCCTCGAAAGGGAACCCAACCAGCCTCTTGCACCACACCCGCAAGCTCCAGCGCTGCAACTAAAACCTCGTTCGGCAACTTGGCACAAGCTGCACGCATACAAGTACACGTTTCGAACGGACTGGTGGAGATGCGAGATGGTGACAAGTGAAACTGCAGCGAACCAGCAATTGCATGATTCGGACATATGTACAGAAACGGCCTCAGACTCAACCGGCATCTTTTGCCATGGACTCGAGACTCTAGGCTTGCACATCTGGTGTTGCACCTTTGGCAAACAGCCCTTCAATCCAGCTCGAAACCGGCATCCTCGCGCACAATGTCATCATGCTCAGCTTCTCTGAGCCCTTCACTGTCCAACTTCACTGACTTCTGCCCGAGTGCAGCACACAGGCAGCCGGGTCAAAGGATGCAGAAGAGAAAAAAAAGGACACGACTTTGACCCTTCATAGTACTCTTCGTGACTTCCAGCGTGCGAAGCTACAAGGAACTCTCAAAGGCGGCTCCTGCACTACAACGAACTCCAGCTTCTGCTTCATCACTTTCCACCTCGCAAAAAGTATCCCTGCAATTGGGAGCATCAAGTCGCACAGAAGCTGATGCCGAGTCAATCACGAGGAGTAGCATTTCAAACTCGCAGCAAACCCGAGCCGTGCACGAGGAGTAGGTGGGCAACTTCAGCGTGTTGAAGCCTCAATGTGCTAGCGACGCCTCTACTCCACTGTGCCATGTTGCGTCGACCGAGACCAAGTCCTAACCTAGCTGCCCAATGCAGCATAGGCGTCGAGCTGGACACCATCAAACACAAAAAGGCACGACCACAAATTCAGAAAGAACAGCATCAGCGTCATGCAGACTAAGCAACATGTGGACGCCGTTGGCAACTTTTCACCATCACCGCGGACATGCACCTGCGCACCAGTCTGTCGTGCTGTAAACTTATTTCCGCATGAGTTCGGCAGGCTCGGCACTCGCTCAGCAGGCTTGCTAGATGCTTGGTCCGCACAGCACGGCTTTGTACTGCGAATTACAAACAGGCAAATTCCGAGCAGGTGCTATCAGCACATCGTCGTAGATGGTGTGCTCGTGGCAGGAGCACGCAAGCGAAGCTGTGCCGCTGCCAGTCACAAGGCCAGGAAAAGATAGTCGCACAAGGGCTGCGTCAGCTTGGGCTTGGGCAGCAGTCTGACTGGATCCAAGAGTCCAAGAGGGGACTCCACGCCATTTCTGTTTTCTGCCGCTCATCTCACAATCTGCATCTGGCGTCCGCGTAGGTCTTTCGCTCCGTCGTCTTCTTGGTGAGAATCGCCTCTCCTTCGCCGTCCTCAGCAGATAGGTCCTCAGTGAGCCATCATGCACCGAGGAGCCGCTTGGTGACGAGTCAACTCGCGAGGAGCAGGCACAGAAGTGTAAGAAGGAGTAGAGAGCCGCACCTCAGCGCGACAGAGCAGGTGCCATGTATGGAGGGCATCCAGCTTCGGAGTGTAGGCCCGAAGCAGAGCACCCAGGGGAAGACTGTGCTGATGAACCTCGGCTTTGGCCGAAGACTTGGAAGTTTCACACTCACACTTGGACAAGCCTGGCAAGGTCTGCAGACTTGCAATGGAAAACAAAAATGTAGCAAAGCTCTGCAGCATTTATTGATGCAGAATCCAGACTACACAGGCGGGCCACAGCCCCTTGCCAAGCGCAGTGGCATTGGCAATCCTGTCGGCGGAGGGCATCTCTGCAATCGGCATCTCCTGCCATGGCAAAGTGCGGCGTCTTTGAGCAATGCGGCGTAGTTGAGTAAAAAGAGAGTCGCGACCCCGTGACCTTTACTATCCCGTCCTGAGTTTTGTACTTCATCGCGTGTGTCGCAAGCAAGGAGACGCTAAGCGGCCCAATAGTTTGACCACTCAGAGACTCCTGTGTTGTCGTGCCGGGCACCGCAGATACATGCACAGGCCGTGCTGCCACGATGACTGCCGCAGATGCAGGAGAGGCTCGAGACTGTACTCCCAGGCCATGACGGATGCCTGTGGATCGAAGCTGGCGCTTGTGGGAATCCGCTTCCGTGCAATCCTGCCTTGCTACCCGATGGGACGATGCGAGCCAGCAGTGGTTGATTGCAGCCTGAGGCTGCCCAGTGCGCCAAAAGCCCTGAGACAAAGTTGATCGTAGCGAAGTGCCAGAACCTCGAGTCGCCACTGAGAAATGTGCTCCGATGTCCGGTTCGTGGGTCTAGCCATGGCACATGTCGGGAGAGACCGGGGCGAAGAACATCACGTACATCAGCGGAATGCCCAGCAACACCGAAACTTGCCCGGTGAAGGGTCGTCCGTGTTGCTTGCTCCACCTCTCAAGCCGGTCGCCGATGTGTCCACCCAAAGGTCCACCGAACATTGTGCCCACTACCTGTAGCGAGAGCTGTGCAGAGTTTCACGTTCACTGGAAAGCTTTGTTTCTGGCGATGAGCAACTTCCTCGGCTGCACTCCTGTGGACGATTCCAGTGCCAAGGAACACACATGCTGGCTGCAATGGCCGCCCTCGTATCAGACAGCCCGCAGTACCTCACGTGCTCGGCATGACATGGTCTTCTTTTCTTCGAGGTGTGATCGAAGGACCGTTTGAAGGGCCAGGACGCTGCATGAACAGAAGTTGAAAGGACAGCGCTGCATTGGGGACAACTCATGTCATTCAACAGCCCATGAAATGGAGTCGTCGGTAGGAAGTCGTGCTTGGAGTTCCTGGCTGGCGTGCAGCTCTCGCGATCACCGCTTGCCTTTCCTTGACCATTGCTGTCGCTGCTTGGACGAGACAGGATACAACTAGATACTAGGACTGTGGTTTCGTTTGGGTGTGCGGAACCTGTTGGGCCGTGAGGCATTTCAGCTGTTCTTCCACGCGCCATCAGCTGCCACTCCTCGACACAAGGTTGACCTGGTGGAGGATGCTGAACGCTTCAATGTGTAGAAAGCGGATACAGCGCATCTTGCAGAAGTTTGTCCGTAGCCGCCTGGGATCCGTTCCCGTGCTCTTGCCAGCTCTGTGCCCAGCAGGAATGCAAGAAGTTTGCAGGCTACCTGGGGAAGCCGACCTTCTGCGTCGTGCTATGTCAAGGTGACTTGCATTGGCTTCCCATGCAAGACCAGGGATGTGTGCACGGAGCGTTTCCGAGGACTTGTTGGTACGAAACCGCTAGGCTTTGGAGCTCGAATGGCCTCGCCTCGGCCAATGGTGCGGCAATCGCAAGGGCGATAATCTTCCCAAGCCCCATTGATGCAGCAAGGAGGCCAAAGTAACTGCCCATGAACTCTGGACGCACATGCGTCGCAATCCTCCGTCACACACACACACAGACAACCATTCATTCTGTCAGAGACTCTCAACAGGAAATAACAACTCGTGGGCCATGTTATCTGATGGCCACTGCGTGCAAACTTCCTCACTCCTGTACTAACTGCCAACAAACAGTCCGTGCGGAGATCGGCTGGTCTTGGAGTCCAGGAGCGTCCCAACTGCTACTAGAAGCTTCATTCTTTTTGTGGTTCTTCCACCTTCACCACCGAATCGACATCACTGCAACTTTACCTCCGAAGCATCCTCGCAAGTATTAAGGCTCTCTAAATCAAGTCGCGTGATGTTCCATGCGCTGTGAATTCTTACGCAAAGTCCAGGAATCCAGGAATACTACAGAGGATCGACATACCCAGAAATAACGTGTGGCTTGAGGCGCTGAGACTGCACCACTGGCAGTACCATTCCAAGGCAAAGGCCATTGAAGACCCTGAAGGCGCAGATCATAGTCACGGACTCGCTGAACGCCAGAATGCAGTTGGCGACGGCCCATCCAAGAACTCCGCTGCAAACCACCTTATGCTCTGGAGCCGCTGCTGTGCCGCAGCAACGAAGCACAAGAGAATCATCACTGTAGTCGTCGTTGGTAGGGATAGTGGTAGTGGTCGTCGGGTGGTCGCAGTCTTGGTCGTAGTGGCGACGGCAGTTGTAGCAATGAAGTAAAAATCGTCGTCGTGTAGTCGCCGTCGTAGTGGTGGTACTAGTCGCAGAAGTAGAAGTAGTAGTAATAGTAGGAGGACGAGACGGAGGAGGAGGAGGAGGAGGAGGAGGAGGCCTGAGGCCTGAGAGGAGGAACAATGATGATGATAACAAGAATCGTCGTCGACGTCGTCGGAGTCGTGTGCTGTGATGGGGATGCTGGTGGTCCTGGTGGTGCTGGCGGTGTTCGCGGGGGTGGCAGTCCGCTGTGGCGGATAGGGGCGTGAGTGGAGTGAAGTGCACCCGACCAGCACAGTTTTCGCTGCAGCCTGCAGCCGGACTAGCACCCCCCCGGCGGGCGTCGTCCAAGCCTGATCGGCTTTTTGAACCTTCCCAGCGCTGCTGCGCTGCGCTTACATGGGGCAGCATCATGAAGCATCATTTGAGCCGACATTTGGCCTTGAGAAATTGGGCTGGAGCATGGTATCTGATTTGTTGAGGTGTGTGCAGGCTTCAGAAGCGAAACGAGTGATAACCGATCATGCTGGCACGCTGGGGCTTGTGGGCCCTCCCAGATGCCGAGCACGCCGAATGATGGGCACACGCAGGGGATGGTGGTTTGCGGCCGTTGTGTTGGTCGTGGCGACAGGGCCGCCCGTGCTGCAAGACTGGGAATGACAGCAGCAATTACATCTCTTTGTGCTTCTATGGGCAAGAAAAAACCTGCAATACCTGAGCTTCAGGCCTGCTTGCATGAATGGCCACTGTCAATCAGATTCGCCCAAGCAATCCCAGAGAGTGCCTCAAAGAATCAATTGCCAGAGGGTTGGACATATCATGACCCACAGTGGACAGTCGACATAAAGAGAAAGGTGGCTAGAAGAATGATAACAGATGCTCCAGCCGTGCTTAAGTGGAAGGTCCAGCCAAGGAACCTGGGCAGCACCTGCCGCAGAAGCACTCATCCATGTTCTAACACGTTCTAACACAAGTTCTGAAAGCTCACGCGTTTGACAGAACCAATCAGACTGGTGCCTTGAAGTGCTTGAAAAATGGCCAGGCTAGTTGGCGAAAACCCAAGTTCAGCTTCCATCGCACGAAAAGATGACGGCAGCAGGTTCATGTCCATCCCTTCCACCAGGCACACTGCACAAAGCAGCAGCCAATTGAGCCTCCCCACCGAGGGAACCTCATTCACCGGCAACCCCTTCATTTGCCGTAAGCAAAGCGGGGGCGCAAGCTCCGCGTTTTTTAGGTATTTGTGGCCATGGCTAGAAGCTAGAAGCTAGCCACGGAGCCATTTGGCTGCGTCGGAGAGGCGAACGGTGTTTAACAAAAGAGCTAAAAAAAGCGCAGCCACACAGCACAGCTCCGTAAGCGGATAGAGACGGGTGCCTTGTGCAAGGTGAATGGCGGCTGGAGATGGGAAAAGCCCAACAAAGGCGCCCGGGAGCAAGAAGTGACGAACCGCAGCAATTTCGTCTGGCAGACAGCATTCCGTGCCCGAGAGGGCTTCAACTGTTGTTGACTGAGCTACCCCGGTGCCCTGGTGCCTGGTGCTGCGGACTCATTGCCTTCACAGCCGTGAAGAAATCGAGCCTGGGCCAGTGTGCAAAGATTAAGTTCCAGGCCAAAACCATGCAGCTCCAACGAAGGTGGTCAGCTGAGGAGCACCAAGCGATCGCGTGAACCACTGCAGTTGGACAGCTGCGTGTGTCGTTGCAGGTCCTCTGCTCATAGCATCATCTGGCTTCTGGTATTCTGGCAACGGGGCTGGTGCGTAGCAACTACCAGCACCATATCATTAATGGAACTTGCTACCGCGACACATCCACATTCAGGGAGCCGCTGCTGGAGCCACTTATCACCTGGCAAGCGGCCAGCAGAGCAGCTGTGACAGGGACCCATCTGTTTTTTCGCACCTGCTGCAGCTCGTCCTCACTGAACATCCGCAGCCATCGCTCGTCGATCAATCGTCGAAAGCCGCTCAAGAAGGCCGTGGATGCATTCTGTAGCTCTCGATTCAGCTTGTAGTCGCTGAGCCTGGCGAACCACGAGGCTGCTGTGAGGTGAGCTCGAGCTGCCTCGCCCAGCATTGCGGCCGTGGCGCAAGTAAATGTAGCGCACCCTGTTCTCGGCTGTGACCGATACTTCCTTGCCGTTTCCCCCGGGCAGCAAGGGAATCTCCTCGCCATCACTGCCAGTGGCAACAAAGTTCAGGCACAGATCTGCCACGTCCCCACCTGCACAGGTCTGAAGATGCCGGGAAAAGCAGATCAATCCTTCGGCAATAGGCCGAGCACAAGACTGTAGACTTTCAGCTGCTGGAGATTTCCGAAGAGTGCCTGGGCTGCTAAGAGGGTGAAATGGAAAGGAAGAGAATTCCTTTCCATGTGTGCAGTGCTTCCGGGCTACCGGGTCCAAAGACTGGAGGTCGTAATACGAGTTGTGTTTGCCAAGAATCTTGGCAAGGAAGAAAGGCGCAAATGAAGGCTCCACGACCTGACTCTGATGGCGACATTTCTTGAGGTCGCTTTCTGACTTCCGCCGTTGCGGCTGCGTGACAATTCCTTCGAAGATAGCCTTGCCAATCACGAGGCCTAAGAACTCGAAGAGCGTCTCGACATTTTCCTTCCAATTGCCGCGAGACTAGATCAGATCACAGCCACTGTGTCAGACTGAGATGAAGCAGACGAGGAGCATGGTATTTCCACGCGTCTGGGTTTGGGAACAGGAGTCGCTCATCCGTGATGCGAAAGAGGCCATACTCGGGGTTGAAGGCTGTTTCCGCAAGCCTCAGGTGAAACAGGACGACACCTTCCCTCACAACCGACGCTTTGGCCGAGTCGCTTCTCCCAGAACTCCTTGAAGAGGCCGCCGGCATCCTGTCCCTGCTCCGGTCTACCTGAAGCGCTCACGAAGACCACCTGGAACCGCGCTCGCCAGTCAGCCTCCTCAGGTTGCATGCCTACCCAGAGCAAAGACAAGAGCGACAAAGCCCGTCCAACCCGACGTCACAGTCCTTCAGCATCAAGGACGTGAGGCCGTCCTCGAAGAGGTGGGTGCGGCGGACAGTCAGCTTCACAACGGGCCGGCCAAGCCCAGCCTCCCACACAGATAAATCGAACACCCAACATCGCGCGCTGTCATGATCGGACACGAGTTTCATGGTTCCCTTGCTTGCACTCAGCCAAGGAGAGGCAGACCCCTCCCGCGCGCGCGCACTGGTCTTGGTTTCCTCTCTCTCGGGGGATACATTCCTCCACCTCCGGTACCTGGAGCTTGGGTAGGCGAAGTCCTCTTCAAGGGGGTTGAGATCGGCCCGCACTATGGGACAGTGGTCCAGCGAGGCTTCGCCAGAGTCCGTCAAGCCGCGATCCGAGGAGAAAGGAGGGGTTTCGTCTCAGCAGGGGGAACCATTGAACTAGTGGGGGGCTTGAAAACCTGCACCGAGGGGAACCCATGCAATGGCTTATGAGGGTGCGGAAAAGCCCCAAGCCCAACGAGGGGGAACTCGGGGCCACAACACTCGCCCTCGCCTATTACGTGCTCAGCTGGCAACAAGGAGGATCCGAAGGCGAGAAGCTCAGAGACGAAGCCGTGGGGGGGAAAGGCTGGCTGCCGGACATGAGTGCTCAGCTGCAAGACGCCGAGATCCACAAGCTGGGCCTGCCGCCCCAACAAATCGCAGCCATCCGGGGAGCCAGGGCACTTACACAAATGCCGGTCGATGACCCCTGGCAACCACGGGCCCACTACTCCCTCGAACTCCAAGCCATCGCCAGGGGGGAAATCCCGCCTCTCCCACCGCCAGGTGATCGGCACCTCCACCCAACAGCAAGGGGAGGACACGCAGCAGCACAGCGCGCCCTGCGGCCCGACCACTCAGGCCGCCGAGCGGGGAGCAAAGCCCCTTGACGCCAGGCCAAGGTGGATACTCCTTCTACTCCACCTCAGCAAGAGCAGCTTTCTTCGCCCCAGCATGGGGGCCAGATGCAGACGGGAAGCCCCCCAACACACAAGCCACACCGAAAAGCACGACCACCGCAGCCACCCAGTTCGAGCTCAGGAAGCAGCTGGCCAAGCGAGGACGAAGCGCCACCGGAAGAGGATCCCAGCTCCTTCATGCAAACACAGGCACCCAGGAGGGGGAGCCATGCCGCAACCAGTCACCAGCAACCACCTCGACAGCCATCAGAGGGGGACATTGCAGGGGGGCAGCCACCACAGCCCGAAGACGCCGAGCACGGAGCAGCCCAAACCACCCAAACGGCAACTGAGCGGGATGGGGCACACCAACAGCCGCTGCCAAAGCGATGCAGCTTCAAGCAGCAGCACCGCGCCCCACTCAAGAAGCCGCAGCCCCCAGAACACACGGAGCAACCACCACGAATGGGGGGGCGACCAGCTCGGGAACAAGGCAGTCGGCATCGACACACTACGTCTGCCCCGGCAGACCAGGACCGAGGCCTCTCCAAATGCACAAGCAGTAGCAGGGCACAGCAGAACCAGGACCAACCCGGCGACCACAGCTGCGGGCTTGACAAGGGTCCTTCTGCATATGGTGGGGGAGAGCGCGGGGGGCCACGAGCATCGAAGAAGAGCTGACCCAACTTCAACTGCTGCTGGAAGAACTTCAGAGCGACTTCGATGTCTCCGGCCGCATGATCGACCCCACCATGTTCATGAGGGAGAAGGAGGCACTGGGATGCACTGGGGGTGGCAAGGGGGTTGCTGGAGGGGCTCCTGCTCAGACGGCCTCACGATGGATGCCGGTAGGCATGGAACGACGTTGACAAAATTCACAGCCACCTCACCACGGTCCAGGAAAGCCATCACACATTGTTGGGGGACGTGCAGGGGGAGCTGCCAACCCAACAACAGGGATCGGCATCCATGGCACGCGACATTGCAGCAGGCTACGGGGACGAAACGGGGCTGCTTCAAGCGGTGGAGCTCCCAGCTCCCCAACGCAATGCGTGCGCCCGGCAAATGATCAACAGGGTCCACTGGCCCGCCAGCGGCAAAGAAGCAACCAGACGCTACAACAAGGCCCTGCCTTTGCTGGGGATCCTGGAGCACTCCTTCCCAGACCAGCACCGAGGCGAGCCCCAACACGAGAACAAGCAGTGGCTGCGAGGTGGGGGGGCAGACTCGCGCAGTTCGTAGGAGGGATGAACATCCCTCAAGGGGGGCGGCGAAGAAGGTGAACAGTGCCGGGGCCACACACCACACACACCCCAGAAAAAGAGCCAGACGAGCAGTCCTTTATGCAGCGAGCCACAACGCAGCAGCAGGCGGCAACAGCAGGGAGCCCAAGCAGAACCAGAAGACCCGCAGGCGCCAGGACAACACAAGCTGAGCCAGAGAGTGAGCAAAGGCATAGCAGCAGAGGGGGTAGGAGGGACTAGCTCCCAAGCCACCACAGTACCCTGGCTCCGCACGACTCAGCACTGCCAGCCAGCAGACGCCCCCAGGGGAGCCACGCCGAGCCCGGTCGCGACATCTGGCTCCAACTCGTGGAGAGCTCCCAATCCCTCACCCCTGGACATCATCATCATCGTCATTAGCATATCATCACCATCATCGTCATCACCACCATCACTATTCATCATGTGACATCATGTGACACAGAATGGCACTTCTTAGGAATTCAAGCCTCGCGAGCCATCTGGACTCGGGCACGGAGGAGTGCGACGCGGAGCTCGAACGGAATGGCCTGTCAGTGCACACGGCACACACGATACGGCTCGGCATGGCAAGCTGCGTGCGCAGCGCAAGCGAAGCTGTGGAGCTGCTGCCTGCGGCAGGTGCCGGAGAAGGCGCTCGGCACCGACAGGCAGCTGAACGAACTGAGCGAGCTGAATCGAGTCTGTGATCTCCTGCCATGCCGAAACAATTCTCCAGATTGTGCGCTGCTCAAACTTCTTGGCGCCTTGACAACCGCCTTGAAGCCCTCCGTGACAGGGTCTGGAGCATGCCAGCAGCTCGCAGGAAGCGGCTTCTCCCCACGACGGCACAGCGCCCAGAGCTGTCCCAAGACGCATCCGGCGGCCTCCAGAAGCTCCTCTCCTCGTGATGCTGGGCTCGGTGGAGAGGAAGCTTTATATTTATTGCTTGGGGCGAGCCGCGAATCGGAAGGCCGGCGGCCCCTGATGATTCTGCACTCCATGCGAGCCAAGAGGTCACCGACGTCACCTTTTTTGCTCAACGAGCACATGAATCGAAAACGACATGCGGCCATGCGGCTGCCGCCCGCCTTGCTCACGTACATGCCGATGTCATGCTTACAAAGTGGGGAGTCTGGACTTCGAAGCTCGTCGTAGGTCATGATGCCCAGACTCTGCGACAACAGCACGGCATGTAGGTGGATGAGGTGGAATACATTGGGACCCAGATGTTCGCTGGGTTGACCGGGGCGCATCGCATCCGCGGTCAAAGTGCTTTGAATTCGCCGCCACAGCCTGGGTTTTAACACACCTTTCCCACACAGACAATGAAAGACTGCGACGTAATCTTCAGGCAAGACACGACTTGGTCACATCGCCACCCTCCATGTAGGCAATAGCATTGGCAATGGTTTCAAAGACTTGGTAGTTCAGCCCCGACTTCGAGGCTAAACGAGCTTTGCCCAGCAAGGTGCTGTAAAGGTGTGCAAGGCTGTCCACCGCAAGCGGGCACACTTTGTGATGTGCCACTGCCAGGCAGTGCCGTTGGTACCCACGGAGTCGCACAGGTCCCAAAACGGCCTCCTGCACTAAAGATCTCATGGGACATCACAAACTTCTCCGAGGCCTGCTTGCCGTCGGACCCCTGCCTTTGGCACATACTTCAGCATGAGAACTCGGCTCCACCACTGGGCTATCGCTCCAGGCTCAGCCACATGCTGCAGCTGTCGTCGCAGCTCCTGCAGGTATCTGTGGCAAAGGAGCTCTGGGGCCACTGACGGCCTTATCAGCCTTCCAATCCTTGACGGTCACCGGTTCGTCTTGGACTAGTGCTGGTGCTCCGGCAAGCATTGAGACCTACCGGCAGCGGCTAGATATCAAGCTGCATGAGCTCGTGCCAACACGTGAGACCTGTGCGTTGTCGAAATCTCGAGACCTCGACGGCTCTCTCCAGCAGGTATGCTTGGACCCTCAGAAGTTCTGGCAGTGGTAATGCCAAGGCTGCATGCAGCTCGAAGAGATTGCCTCGCGGTGGAAATCGGAAGGCGCCCAGCTGACGATCATACCATAAAGCGTGACACTGCATCACTACCTTGCCACACTGGCCTGCAGCATATGACATCGCGTACTCCTGCTCCATTGCTTTGGCAGAACCTGCATCGTCTTGATACTTGATGGGTGTTTTGCAAGACTCATTGTACCCGCCTTGGCGCTCATTTCCGCGAAGATTCTTGAACCGTGACAGAAGTCGAAGCAAGGCTGAAGACCATGCTTGCTCCTCTGATGGCCGCACTCTCTGCACTCCCAATTCCAGCCCACCACCCCTGAAGTCATGCTATCAGCCAACTGAAAAGGACCGTCCTCGGGTTTGGGAAGGCATCTCGCCAGTGGTGCTCCCGAGCGCGGGACGGAGAGCAGCGCTTCCAGGAGCTCGGCAGCTGCATCGAACGTGGCCTCCTCCCAAAATCGGGTCTTGGAACAGCAAACTTCTGCTGAACAAAGGCTGTTCGTTAGATGCGAACCAGGCACCGCAATTCGAAACAAGGTGTACGAGGACACATTGGCTATTGCATCAGGATGTTTGTCTGCAATCGGAACCACGGACATGCGCGGTTTCAGATTGTTCACTACAAGATCCTGCAGGGCGAGCGCCAGAAGTGCAGCTGCCGCAGCAACCTGCTGACAAGCGCAGGGGGCGCATGCTTTGGACCAACTATATCACAACAACCTTTGAGCTCTTCCACACACAGGGCTCTGCTGCACCAGGTTCTGCAGCTTCTCCGGAGGTGTGCCGCCGCTGCCCCAGCAGCTGGCGGCAGCCACTGCACAGCCGCGCCAGTGTTGAAGCCTCACTGGCTGGCATCGTCAAGCGCGTGTTGGGATAACCTTCGCCCCACCAACAAACCAGCTCTGCGAGACTTTAAGTGTGATCAGTGCGGAAAGCAACGTAGCGGAACAGACGCAGGTCTGCAGCAGCTGGCCAGAAATCCGCCGAACCAATTGTGCACCCGTCTCAGAGCCGCCTGTGACTAACGAATGACGAATGCATGGATAAGGACATATTTTAGCTGATTGAAAAACGTGTTTGTTCTCGGGTTCGCTGCGTCTGGTTTGCTGGACTTGGAGTAGCCGGGCTGGCACCCACCCATATCATTCCTCCCTCTCACATGGCGAGGGTCCCAAAACATATCATCAGATTCTTGAAATCATGTGCCTATGAATTGTCGAGAGCTCTAGCTACAGGTCGCTGAACCGTTGGGCACCAAACGGATACAATACCAAGAATCAGAGGTTGGTCGCACATGCACCGTAAATCGCAGAAATTCTTGACAACCTCGATCGCAACGAAACAAACAGAAGCGGAAACCCGCACACCTGCCCAGCTGTGCACATTCAAGATCTCGGCCAGATTTGCCACGCAGGCCGATGCTGCAGTCGACAGGATTTGCGAGTGTCCACGAACTGGCGCGGTTGCGACCACTAGCAGAGCGTGGCAGAAGTTGACGACGGTCCGATTTGGATCCTGGGTGTCTGGGAGCCAGTCTTTAAAGAGAAACGTGGCCTGTCCAGCCAAGCTTGGGCGCACTGATGTCACATCCCCACAACAACCTGACACCTCACTTGCCAGCAAAGCACCGGTACGTGCATTGGTCGGGCGTCGGCACATAAAAGAGAACCTTGCAAAACCGTCCAAACATGCTGAACACGGGACATGCTGGCGAAGCACATGCGCCCCGCACCGTGTGTAAGCTCAGCTTGGAGCAAACGCTCTTTTGAGCACCGTTTGAAGAGGCCCGCAAGCCGTCAATTGCCTTAGCGCATGGCCCACGTTTCTTCTTGCATGGTGTCAACATTCGGAAATATTCGGAAGCACTTGCTTCCTGATTCGCTCCGACAAACTCAGAACAGAAAGTGAAAGAGAACTGAGAACGTAGGCGAACGGCCAGCGAGGACAAAGTCTGAAGCACCTGCAGCTCCCCTGATTTCAGTGCCCTCTCGAAACATGCTCTAGGACACTGACAAATCACAAATCGTCCATGCGCATCGATGTCTAGGTGCCTCGGCCAGTTCATCTGAACTCCGTGATGCGCTGGCTCGGACCTCACATCACTCTAAAAACTTCGTGACTTCGCGGCCCCTGCAGTCCAGACGGCTGACCGATCGGGGCCTGCCAGCACGACCGGCGCAAAAACGTCAGCAGCAACTCCGCTGGCGCCAGGAACTGCTTTCCTCCATTCCAAGGCAAAGATGGAGTGCCCACGAACACAGACATACACAGACTCTACTCTACTTATGATGGCTTTAGTCTGCAAATGCACAGCTTCGGGTAGGTGGGCCTTCAGCAGCTCACCCGACTCAGGTTATGCAGACATGGTCTTGCTGCGCCTAGTTTCCCTGCACTTGCAAGTGGAACTGTCCTTGCTGCCGCAACGAAGTCGCGAGAGCCCCCAGATCGTGAACCTGCTTCCTCAGTGCAGCCGGAAAGGAGGGAAGCTGAATCAACACACCGACAAAAGTGACATTTCCGGAAGCTTGCGCCGGAAGCCAAGTGATCAGCTATGGCTCCGAAGACTCTTCCATTCGGCCTCTGCCCAACTGCGTCTTGCCAGGAATCCCCGGACCTGGATTGACCCATTTTCAGACAAACGCGAACACGATCCCATCAGTCCAAAGTCCAAGCTCAGCCAGGCGGCGAAGGACTGGATGCGTACTGCGGCCTCTGTCCGGTGGCTCTCCTTGGCCGTCTCCTTTGCCGCAGACTTTGATCTTGCAGCGGAGCCATGCATGACGATGACACCACAAGAAGCCAAGCTCCTCCGCGTTCTGCTGGCGTTGCCTCTCTCGCTCCTGGCAGACACTCCGGACTCCACCACGACAAGCAGCGCAGAGGTCGTCCTAGCCCTAGCGTTGGCGCATTGCCAGAATCGCAGGCCAATGTTTTGGACCGGCGGTTGAGGCGCAAGGACATGTGAGGAGCAAAAGACAAGTCCCCCCAAATTCCCCAAACCTCGCTAACTGTGGCCCTAGCAAAACTTCGGTCCCCTGCCAATGCTGTCTCATTTTTGGGGAAATTTGAGGCAGCATTTTGGCAACCTGAGGCTCCAAAACATCAGCAGGGACCAAATCTCTCCAAAAAATCCCTTTCCACATGCTTGTTGGAGCCCGCCCGGCCAATTTCCCCACGGCCAGCACATCGCACTAGCATCCTCCAAAACTCCCGAAGCCTGAAGTGAGCGCTATTGATAGTGAAGAAACCTCTGACTCGAGGTTTGCTCCTGACGCTTCTTCTCCAAATCATGGAGCAAGGCAGCTTTGGATGACATTGTGCTGGCGACATTGCGCAGGCTTCAGTCGAGGTTGGGGCGATTCCCGGGGTGGGAGTGACGGGACTGATGTGATACGAAGAAACTTCCCTTATCGTCATTGTGCGAAACCCCCGTGCTGGATTCGTCCACCTAGGTCTTTTGGCATCACGTTACTTCAGAGATCTTCAGAGCCACAAGAGATGCGGGTGCTTTGCCTCTAGTGGGCCAGGTACTTCGACCACCAATGGCTGGCATCATTCACCAAGCAGAAATTGGAACCCGGCGCCGGCATCGGCAAGTTCCCTCTCTGCAGCAAGAGTCCTTACTTGGTGATCCGCCCTTCCTCACATGGTGAATGCTGAAGAACGGGTGCATGCTCGAGGCTCGCGCCTCAGGCGCGTGTCCGCCTCTGAGATTAAAGCCGCTTCAACACCAGCGGCTCGTGCCTTTGCATGTGGGCAACAGCTTGCTCGGCAAGGCTCCAAGCACAAAGTCCGCAGACAGCACCGGCACCTCCATGATGGCCACACGCAAAGATACTTCATCGTGGGCCTTTGCAATTGTTGCTGCTGAAAAGCTCGGGCAGTGCTTGCCCGGTGGCCGGACGAATCTACCTGTAAGCGGAACTGCCTCTGCCAGCGCATACATGCTGAAGTACTTGTCATAAGCATACTCTGCCTCAGCAGCTTCAGTCGTCAATCACCTGCCCTGCTGCTACCCGGATGACACTCCAGAAACCAAGAGATTGGCCGCATCGAGGTCTTCTCGATTAATGCCGGCCTGTTTAACCAGGGGGTCGGTCGTGGACTGGGAACTAGTCTGTCGCGCTCGATCTTGTCGGCCGCCTCAACACCGGAGGCAGCAGAAAGCCAAACGCCATGCCGAAAGGCTGTGCCGAAGGTGTCCTGCAGAAAGCTACACTGCTAAGTCATTTGAGCTGCTACCTCCATCTCCACTGCCGACCTCGCAGACATCCTCTGGAAGCCCCATAAGGGAAAGCTTGTCTATCTGGCAGCACAGGACAGGAACATTTCCAGGCTGAACTGCGGAGCTCCCGCCTCGACAATGCAGTCACCCACCTTCAGAAGTGGCTGTCCAGGCTTGGCTTCCACTTCCTCTGGTCGTGTCATGACATAGACATAGACACTGACGCTGCTCCCTGACTTGTGTGTGCTCCTCGACGACCATGCCCCACTTCGTCGTCTGCAATGTCATGCCACAGCCTGAACACGATTCCGTCCGAGTTGTCATGCCTGAGCTTTGCCTCCGGACAGATCTCGGGAAGCGACCAACTTTGTCAAGCACTCGAAGCTGCATCCGCCTGCAAGCAACGGAAGATTTCTCATCGCGGCTTAGCATGGCTCGACACGGCCGAATTAAGGCCGCAGCTTGATGCCGGGCACCTTTGGAACAGGCTTTCCTGGCGGCTCTCCACACTCTGGACACTCTGAGAATTTGAACTCATCGGTCCTGTCGGCAGATCCTCCGCTTTGGCAGCTGGTGGCGCTTCGCGCTTCACGGCTACTGGGACATCTTGTTCCGTTTCCATCGGTTCCGCTTCTTCCTGCTTCGGCTCCATCGGCTCTTCGTAGGCTGCTGGCTCCGGCTCGACTGGCACAGGAGCTTTCCTGGGCAGCACATCCTATGCATTCTTCAGGTTCTTCAAGTCGGAGATTCAGTGACACCGTCCTTGCAGCTTGTTCCTCTAACAGCCGCGTTAGCGCATCCTCGGCAGCCTGCAGTTTTCATCAGCTGTCTATGTTAAGTCCATACTCGAGCATTGCAACATGTTAGAACCGCTGAGCTGGAGTTTGCGTCGCCTGCAGGTCTTGTTCAGCAGCTTCCTCTGCACCTTGGAGACAGTCCATATGAAGCTAAGCGAGTGGCCGAGTGGCCTGTCCTGATGCGGCCGAAGCACGAGCTTGCGCAATGGCGCTTTTCAACGCCTTGGGGCTGCAGCACATCAGCACCGACTCTTGGGCAGTCGAAGCACAGAGATTCCAGCAGTGATGTTTCGCCCACCCATGGCCTGGACAGGTGCTTCAAAAACAAAGGCAAACTCCGCTGGAAGCTCGGAGCGGGGGGCGAGAAGTCGAAAAGAGTGAGTGGAGCGCACACGCTTCGACGATAGAAGGGGGGGTGCTCCTGAGACTGCAAGGGACGGACACAGAATGACACACACACACACACACACACACAGAAATCCGTATGTCCCTCGCTCCTCAAGCGCTGCCCGGACCCGAAAGCTTGGACTTGACTCTGTCCCTGTTGCTGCTGCTACGTACAGCTAGCCGTCCACCGTGCCATATGAGACCACCCTTTCTGATTGTTTACGGAAACAAGTTTCGCTGCTCCATCATACGGCGCTGCAGGCAGGAGCTCCGGGCCGAGCCTCGCGGAGCCGGGCAAAGGCCTGGGCCAGTTTGCCCTAAACTCAAACTACATCGTAAACCCCCAACCAAGCCCGAAACCCATACACCCCCTGAAAAACCCAAAGCCTACAAACCTTAGAGCAATACCCGGCAAGGCACGACAGGTCTCTGTTGGCGTTGGCGGGCTTGGTTGTCCCTCTTAGCATTGGCGACCCTTTCCTGGCTGTATCTGGCTGCACATTGCAGCAGTTCTGAAGGAATTTCAGACATCCCATGCTGCGGTGAGCTGCTTTCCGGCTGTTCCTGCCTGCAACCGCTTTGATGTGCAGCAGGTTTCCAACGCTGAAGTTTGCTGCAGTTCCTATTTCTCTATGGCCTCACACTTCCGAGTGCTATCTGCAGATGCTGCAACTTCCGACGTATTTCTGACTGTTCTGAAGAGCGTACTGATCGCTGTTTCAGCATGTTAACTAGAGAGTAGCATATTAACTTAGACCGGGGTCAGTGTTTCGCCTTCGTTGTAGGAAACATCGATATTTCATGAATTGAGTTCCCCCCGAGCAACTGTTCCCTTTGTGCTCTGCCGACATGTCCTGTTTTTCTTCGATTCAATTTCACTCTCCCATCCTTCCCAAGTTGCTCGTGAAGCGAGGACGTGTGCAGTCGCTTAGGATGTTGTGTTGCTTTCGCTCGAAAGGCTTGGTGTTGTCATTGCTCGCATTTCCCCTGCAATGTTGCTCCTGAAACACAGCCACGGGCGGTGATGCGAGGAGTCCTGAAGACATCATGGTCGGTTTCTTCGTTTCGGTTGCAGCGCCCGGCCACCCCCCCACACCCCTCCAGTTGCTAGTACAGAGAATACTGACGAAGCACCAACGAGGAGCACAGGACCAGAGGATTACAGGAACGACAGGACCTATAAGGGCCAGTGGACCGCGAGCTCGCAGAGGCACAGAACCGACGGCCACCCTCCCCAAGGGACTAAATTTACCCAAAACACAGGGGCAGCACCCGGTCAGGCTGGCGAGTGGCGGTTTGACGCAGTTGTCGTTGCTATGACATCGACAGTGCAGCAAGCTATTGTGACTTTCGTACGAATTTGTTGCTGAGGTTGCGGCTTTCTCTCTGCGCTCTACGCCGAGGCGCTCTTCCAGGGCGGCCTTCTGGAACTTCGGAGGATTCGTGCACAACAAGGTCCTTAAGAAGCCCTGCGCTCCTTGAGGTTCAAGTTGAAGCTTTCTTCTGCCTTCAGCAGAGAGACGGCCGCGGTGTACCTTGCTATTCCTCTTGTCTTCCTCTGGCCTGCGAGATGTCAGTCTCGCTCACGCCAGATTGTCTCGCCAAGAAGATGGCGGCCTGACAGGCTGCAGTGGTTTCTTTCGAAAATCGGACACTCCAAGGTGACGAGCTCTCCTGCAGGACCGACTCGTCATCCCCGCTGGCAGCCACCTGAGCCATTGCGATTGCGCCAACAGTGCCGGCAATTGCAGTAACGGCTCAGCAGCGGTGTAAGCGAACATCTCAGGTCGATTCGTTTAGCTCTCGCAGGCAGACAATGCGCCGAAGCATATCCTGAGAGTGCGCTGCGACATGTATGCAATAATCACTTAAACTGCTTTGTCTGGATCAACCGTCCTCTGCTTCTTCCACTGTGCTGTTCTGGATGCCAGCATCGATGGCCTGCTGCTGTCGAGCTCGAAGCTTGCTGGCAAGACAAGCAAGATCGCAGGCACACCCGTATGTTCCAGTAACAGCGGTTTCTCTGGCGTTTTTGCATGGCGCCTGAAAACGTAGACACGTGCGGGAGGGGTTAGGTACGCCCATTCCTCGGCAAGTATGTTTGTTGGCATGTTCGCCTTGTTAATATTATTTCTACTGGGAGAGCCACGGTAAATATGCTCATATTTAAAGATTCAGCAGGTTTGCTACCAGTATGTGGAAGGTGTGCATATCTACGCTACGTTACTATGCATGGGTGTGAGCTGTCAGCCGCGCTAACAAGCATGCATGCGTGCGCATGTGTGTGTGTCCCCTTTCTGTCGAGATTGGCGGAGCAACAGATCAAAGAGCCCGCGCTTTGCACAACAGGAGGGGGATGTATGTCTACACGTGCGTGACAGGCATTCTGCAGCGTTCGAAGGCCTGAAGGAAGCTGCTCAAGTAAATGCTTGCCTTGTTGAGGGCTGCCTCGAGGAGGCTTTCGTCAACTTTGCTGATCGCTTCTGACAGCGCCCGCCCCTTAGAGCAGTGATTCTCCCTACCTGTCAGAACAACTTCCACAGAAAGCATTCGGGATTGACCCAGAATCGTGTTCAGTGGGTCTTTATGACCTAAGGCGATCGCGGCTTCCAGATTCTTTCTTTTCATTGTGGCTGCGTCCGTGCCACCTCCCTTTGCAGCCACCTCGTGATCATGGGCTCCAGGAAGCACTGAACCCAAGTGCGTCCGCGAGCTGCGTGAGTGCCGTGTGCAGCAAAGGCTTCGGCTGAAACTCGCGGAAGCTTGGCCTCGAGAGACGGCGAGGCTCGTGGGCGATGGTGCCGCGTGGCCCGCTGCATGCTTGCTGTGCGCTGATTGATTGCTACTTGCTAAGACCAGTGCTGCTGCTGGGCGATTTTTGGCAAACTCTGCCCGCAACATGTCGACCTCAACGGCATCCGTCAGGCAAGGAGCACTTCGCTCTGCCTGTGCTGGTTTGGTTGACCAATGCCTGGTTCTCCAGATCCGAAGGCAAAGCTCCTAGACCAACGGAGCCTGGCAGCAGTTCTGCCAAGGCAACGATTGCAGACGGTCCTCGAGAAAACTAGGATGGCTCGCGGCCACTCTTCTGAAACGACTTGACCTCGCCATGATGTAGCCATGAATCCGTGTTTCCCTGCCCCTGCTTCAGCAAGCGAACGCCTGGCCTCTGCGACATCGGCCGGGTGAAAGCCGATCCAGTCCCTGGCAGCTGACTCTAGTTGACCTATCTTTCAGGCAAGAACCCGAAGCTGCATGTCAAAGGAACTCACAAGAATGCAGGTGACACCTCAAGAGAGCACTCTCCGTACTCAGCCATGTGGGTAGATGTGCCTTAGACGAGACCGCACGGGCTAAGCATGGAATGCAACACAGACCGCAAAGTGAAACAATGACTTGCTGGGGCTAGGGCTAGGATGAGACAAAGCTTTCTTGACCGCGTGAAGGCCTGTCGCGTCCACTCTATGGCCGGATCTAGCCCTGAGCTGCATGCTACCGCCGCAAGCATGTCAGCAAGACAACGTTCAGTCGACGCCAGTCCGACACAAACCCAACATCACCACCTCATGGGACAGTTTCGAAAGTGAGCAGGCACGGCCAGGACGGATTTGATATGCTCAGCCACTGGCGTGGATTGGCTCGGACGAGGCTGAGGATGATGATATCCTGCATGGGCAAGCAAGGGTACCAAGCGAGCCGATGGTATATTCCCACGTCTCACATGATGCCTTCTGGCATCCCTGGAAGGCATCCACTGAAGACACTTGGACCTTAGACATGTCCAGTCACTGGAGATCAGAACCTTCTCTCCTCTGTGCAGTACACCGTCGAAGCGTGCTGGGCAAGACCTTTTCTTGCGCAGGGCATCGCGACGCAGACCCGGATCGCTCGAGTCGGAACATGTCCGCGAGCATTCCGAAGGCAGTCACCTCGGCTTCGTATGGCTCGACTTGGAGCCCCCAGCGCAAAGGACCGCTCGCATGCCCAGTGGCTGCAGCACCGGCTCCGGGACCCTGAACCACCAGAGGCCGTGGGGTGAAGCGTGCCGACGAGATGGCCACCATGTTATCCGCATGGCGGAGAGCTGGCGGGGAAAGCAGAGGCACGGCAGCGCAAGAGTACAGGTACGGGAAACTCAGGGAACGGCCTGCTAAAGGATGATCACGAAGCACCGGCATCAAGGAGATTCTGGCCGTCCGGCTGGAAACGTTGATGGTGCCCACATAGCGCAGGACATTGTTCTGAACACGAGCCTGCATTCAGATCACAGCGACGAAACGCAGGCCTTGCGCGCTAAGTGATGAGGGTGCCTGCGCAACCTTCTCTGCCATGTCACCATCGAACTCACGCAAATGGCTCACGAAGTCCGAGACTGTGCTGCCTCGGACATCTATTGCTGCATTGACTAATTTGAAAGCCAACAGCTAGATGACTTGGAGTCAAGACCAGGGTCCCTTTCCCTGGGCTCAGTCGGAGAAGGGTCAGCTTGGCATCTTGCAGAGAAGGCTCGGGTGTCTGTGTTTGGTGGGTTCCAGATCAGCGTGCCAGGAACCAAGGACTCCGGAGCGACATCTTCGAGCTCCATTTCAAGACCCAACTCCCTTGCCAGGATGACAACCTCAATGCGCGTTAATTCTTTTCTCCATCTTAAGGGCGTGGGGCTCACCGCAACACAGATGAGCTAGCATTCCTTTTCACATTATGTATCGCAGCTCATGGTCTGCTCTCGCACAGCCCTGACTTGCGCACATCCAGCCAATATCATGCGTGCTTCCTTCGTTCCGCAGGTCTGCGGCGCATTACAGCTGGCACATCTGCTTGGAGTGGCCTGAAGTGACCTTGAGAGGAGCTGTCTGCAACCATGCAGTGTGCCATTCGCACCTCCTTTGGCGATTGTCAGTGTGAATCGCGGACGTTTACAAGGAGTACGCATTCACGACAAGTACGGTTATTTCTTGTTTCCGCAACGTGGTGTCTTCTTTTTGCTGCAGCCCCTGGTTTCTTCGATAAGCGCGATTCTGAGTTTCGCGCACAGCCCCTAGCAAGGACCTAAACTCAAATGTTTTGCATGCTGGGAACTGAACAAGTTCGATGAAATTGATGAAATTTCATACCTTGCTTTGCTGGAGCAGCTCGCTTAAGAACAGAAACGGAAAAGTGGCGTTCCAGTTGCAGCAACCCGATCGAAGGAATACATGCCAGCTAAGAAATGTGCGCAGAATTTTGGATCATCTCTTCCTTCCGCTCTTTCTCCAAAACTTTATCTCTCTCTCCCTCTCTCCACTTTTCTCTCTCGGTGTTGCTTGCATATGCAGAGAGGTCGCTTTGCGCTGGACATCGCCACCACTCAAGTCGTCGCGAGGGTCCGGCTCCAAAAAGCCTAGCCGTGCAGCCTCCCAGACAGCTTCCGAAAAGGTGGCACCAAGCCTAGGCAAAGGGGCTGCCAGCTGCTGAGTCAAAAGCTTCCTGTGGCTTCTATGTGCAGAGAAAACACTCGATGTGGTTGAAGATGAAAGACAACGTGCCACTGAAAACACCTGCATTGCTGCGGGAATTGTATGGCATTCTCCAGACCGACGGATACTTTGAAGCAGGGTTTGGTAACTGTGCGCGACATCGGCGCGGCGCCTCAAAAGCGCGTGTTACAGATGCACATCTCTAGGACCCGCCGAATGCTGCAGGTCATTCTGCAACTCTGGGCTGAATCTGTTCAGCGCGATCTGTGCAAGCCAGAAAACCCATCGGCCTTCAACTACCTGAGCTCTTTCTGCTTCCAACGACCTGCTTCGTGTACAACGGCTGGGCTATTCCAAATGCCATCAAGAGGGCATGAACATCATCTCCGCTTCGAACCATGTCTTGCAAAGTCGCCAGCACTGGCAACCCAGCTCCAACCGTAGCCTGCCAACACGTGCGGAAAGGCTTTCCAAGACACGTCGCTGCACAAGGCGAAGTCACCTGGCCTCGTAGAGAAAGTGGCTTTGCCCTAGCCGTGCAGCCTCCCTGATCGCTTTGTATCTTTTCAGGCTGCCACTTCCGGCTTTCTTATTGGCAGTGATCACGTTGATGCCTGGCAACGGGCCTACTCCAAGGACTTGAGGTGTGCAATGACCTAAAAGACCCATCCTGCAGCAAGCCAACTTTGATACAGATCAGCTGGCTCTTCCGAGGGGGTGCAGTCCAGGATCACCCGTGGACCTCTCGCGGTGCGAGGCAGATCTGAAACTTCTAAGTATCTTAGACACTTGCAAGCAAGTCCTGTCCTGGAAGGGCGCTCATGAAGTCGCTGAACTTTGTGAGATTGGTCGACTCACCAGGCCGGTTCATGACATCATCTGTCGCCTTCAACTGCGGCTGGCTTATGGAATGCACCACTGACGGAGGACGAAAAAAGTTGAAGGTGGGTGGTGGGTGGTTGGCGGGTGCCTCCTGCAGGTGTTGAAGCCACATGCGCTGAGAGCGCAGAACGGCCACCGTGCTCCAACCGCCTGCCCATGCGGTGCTGATTGGTGTCCTGCTGACCACCCTTCTGCATCTGACTCAGCCAGCATGTTCCAGCATCGTCTCTACTGGCATCCTCCCTCTCAGAGACACCACCAGTGACCAGTCACACAATGCCAAACACCCACAACTTTGGGTGGTAACGGTCCTGCTCACCATCTGCACATCTTGTTTCTTTCCCCTTCCGTTAAATCAACACTTAGGACTTCTTGCCTTGCTGCAGGACTCCAGAATTCCCCGTGCGCATATTCGTTCTGCCCTCCAACCCACCGGCTCTCCAGTAAGACTCGAGTATAGGCTGCCTGCTCATGGCAGGGGCCCCAGGCCTCCGCCGGCAGTGTCGCTGAGAGCACGGAGCTGCCTTAAGACTTCTTGTCCAACGAGCCCAGCGCCCACAATGCCAACTGACACAGACTCGGCGCCAGGGCTTCCGATCCTGCATGCGACTGCGAGATCGGCTTCAAGCTCCTTCTTATCTAAGCTCGTTCGTCCCGTCCTGCATGTCTCTTGAGAAGCAGCGGTCTGAAGAAGCAATGTCGCTGTCAATACCCCATGAAAGCTCGACATGGATGCAACAACCGGCTGCCTTAAAGGTGGTGCTTTTTAGAACGACTGCGACAAGCGAGGCCTTGGAATTGGCTCTACTGGAGAGCTCGGGCTCGATAGCTAGAGCCGCAGCATTGCAGCTCTGACGGCGGCTTGGTTGGATTGAGTGTGCACTGTGCAGGCCATGTTGCATGTTTTGGGGGGCACATGGCTGCAAGATGGCAGGTGGCATCGGCACATGCGAATCAAAGCGCGCATGCACTCCCGAGTCATCCGCAGTACAACTCTGGAGTCCGGAATTGGAGATCAACTTGCGATCTGAACTGGCATGCAGACTTTCAAAGCGGCCAGAGACTGCGACTGCATCCCTGGCTTCTCTCGGAAGGGCCTCGGAAAAGTAGCCACATCAGAAGCCGGGCAAGACGATGCCAAGTTGCGGTACCCGAGCCACGGGCATTTCGTATCTCAGAGACCTGCCAACAAGATAGATCACGATAGATCATAAGTGCACGCATGCGCGTACTGTACTCGCACAAGCACACACACACACACACACACACATTTAAAAAAAAAATATGCAAACATACAAGCAGCTTTTGACCTGGAAGCTCTGTGCACTGTTCGCTTGCCCGAAATGCTCGTGAAATGATTACAAGATATTACAAGTACAAGGTGCGACCAAAAGAAGCTGGATCGTTGTCGTTTATGTTGTTTGCTTGGTGCCATGGCGAGCATCGATCATGCGGACATGTGCGACTCTTCTGACTCCGGCCTTCGGAGGCATGCCAAGATCTATGTAACGGCTTGAAAAGCAAAAGAGCAAGAGCACATTGCGTTGCATTTTCCGGCCTGCGCGGCATATGGCGAAATCACACCAATCTCCTCGCCCCTGAGTCCTTGGCCATACTCAGCAAGGAAGTAGCGATTGATGGTCTTCGATGGTGTCGGCGTGTTCGCAGTATGAAAAGAAGAGCCGGCGGGAACGAGACTGGTGGACATGCAGAGACCAAGGTCGCAGCTCCCGTACAGCGTCATGAACTGCCTCGGCATGCAGGAACGTGTAGGGCAAAACCCTGTTCGCACCACATTGCAATGACCTGCCCTCTGTGCGTTCAGTGGTGGCCCTTGCAGATATCACAGAACCAAGCAGACCATGGATTCTAAGCTCCTTTCTCGACGAGCCATGCCGCACCTCAGGCTGAGTCTGCTAAGGTCAGAAAGAGTGCTCCCCAACGCAACATTTGTGGACTGGAGCACGCATGCAAGCTCAGGCGAGTCGCAAGCTGCTTCATCAACGTTTCGTTTGGATGCACCTCTGGATTGCTCACGGGCCTGCAACAGAGCTCTCACAGGTTCGAGCAGCTGCAGTCGCCAGCGGTCGCTAACTTTTCCGAGGACTTCTTCGTCCGCCATTGTGCTAGGATGGGCAATGATCCGGCAGTTCTGCCCACGTCGTTGTTACTGGGATGGCTCGCCTTTGGGGCCATCTGCTCTGACAAATCCTCATGGCATCAAGCGCACAGGATCGTGAAATTCTGTGAACGTTTCAGGGTGCCTGTCGCGAGCTCTGTTATGCGTCTTGCTTGCTCAATTGCCATCCGACTTGACCAAATGCCCCTCTACGACAGCTCAGGAGTCTGCTTTGCGACTCTGAAGGGAACTGCCACGGGACAGTTGTCCTCAGGTCAGTGTTTCCTGTGCCCCTTCTCCCATAGGCCGACCTTCATGCATGAAAGATTCACATCCCGCAGTGTTCCAGGGCAGATGCAGGGGCGAGGCGAGGCCTCAACCTCTCCCGATGGCAGATTCAATATTCCGCGGCCTCAATTTCAGCACATACTGCCTGCCCACAACCTCTTTATCGCACCAAGTAGGTTTAAATTTAGATGCTTCCGTGGGCTAAGAAGCCCGCCATGTTGCTTCCCATCCTTCCACTGTCCAAAGAAGGAGCGTCCATCTGGCCACGAGAATCGGCCAACACCTTCCTTCACAGATGCAAAAGGTCAAAAAGTTTCATATCCCCGTCAGCATGATTTGCTCACGACTGAAACCAGAGCAAACACGAGTAGAGCTCAGACACTTGGCCTTCACGTCCTTTGCGTAAAACCCTTCGAAGGTCTTGCCGTCCGGCCAGGTAAATCTGCTCAGGGAGGCAGGGCATACGATCTCTCCGGATGAAAAGAGCAGGCAATGTTAGACAATGAGCCTGCCAGCTCCATCCATGTAGCTTGCTTTCCAGGACCCTACGAACCTTCATGGCGATTTGTTCATTCTGCAGCTGACAACCATTTGTTCGGAACAAGGTTTTCACTTCCCGTCGCCGGGCTCACGCTGAGTGAAGGACTCACGCCCATCCCCTTAATTGCTGGAGAATGCGGAAGCTACGGTGCTGCATCAGCTTGGCTGTCGGACAAACAGGCATTGTCAAGTCTTGCTGTCAAGCCTCCCCAGACATACCTGAAGGAAGAACAAGCAGCAGCAACGCGACAGTAGGTGCTGGCCTGCACTAGGTTCTATTTCTTGACATCTGATGCATTCCGGGTGCTTCCCATGTCCATTGATCTCGTTGTCCTTGAAGTCGCCACTGTAGGAGGATTTGTCAGCCCAGCTGAAGCAGCCCTGTAGGAGTGAGCGAGGTAAGTGAGGCTTCGTTTGCAGCAGGGTGAAAGGCCGGGATCAGGTGTGGCGTGAGGTCGCACAGGGAGACGATCAAGGAGAAGAACCACGAAGGAGCGTGATCAACTCAAGGAAGGATGGGGTTAAGGAATCGGAATGGGTTTAAGAGGACCGGTCCGTCCGAGCCTCCCTCCAGAGAATGCCCTTCCGATTGCTTCAGCCCTTTACAAGGGTTGCTCTCGGAAGACGCGATGCCTAGCATTCGCTTTGGAAGCGCTGCTGGTTTTACTTCAGAGAAAGACACTGCACTGAAAGCAGATAAGCCGTCTCAGTGACAGTCTGTGGCGGTGGCGAGTTGCCCTAGTCTTTACAGGTGCGGAAGTGCTGACCTTTCCCAGTAAGTCTTGCACCTGGCCAGACTTCAAGCCGTTCTCGTACATGCCTCAGCTTCCCGTGCATGCCAGGAGCCAAATCGCAACTGGCGACTGGACCAGAAGTTCAGCCGAAGTTCCTGTGAATCTGGTGCCGTCCGGCCAGGTCTCGGTCCCATAGCCATGCTGCCGGTCGTCCTACCAACACGAGCCACTGTGAGCGTTGTCCTTTGCAAAGACGGCTCCGGCTCCTGCCACTCCCCAACGTAGGTCGAGCCACTCGCATGCCTGAACTCTTCGTGCCGGGACTTCGGGCTTCAACTAATCCAGCGATTGCGGTTGTGCGAGACGGCAAATCAAGGACGGACCGCACGAAGCCGCTGGTATGATCGTCAACCAAGAACCGACAAGCAGAACTGATCTTCATCCCGGAACGCACAAAATCCACACTCTTCAACCCCTGAATTTAAGGGGAGCACTCGAGGACCTCATGGACATTGGCTCAAGATTTGTCAGGCCATATGTTGTGGCCTAACGAAGGACAACTTCAAACCACGGCAACAATAGCAACAGCAACACAACAGCAACGGGACAACGACAAGCTCCCGAAACCAAAGTCACTCTTAGCACAGGGGGCGCCACTCTCGGGAAGGAACCACATCCCCAAACAACGGACGAGACGGCAGCTTCATCAGCCCGGGACTGAAGCGTGACGCGGTCCGTGGTTCATGGATCGAAAATGTGCTCAAGAGAAAGATGCTCTTTCTAGGCAGTCTCGCTTATGCCGACACTTGCACCTCAGACAGACAAAGTCTCGTAACGAAGGTTGAAGACTGACAACTGATGCGAGCTTCACACCGGAGAGTGGTACTCGGCTCTTCATTGAAGTGAGACAGCGAGAGCTGGCTGCATGCAAGCCGCATGTATATGCCGCGCCCGTGCGCCCTGTCATTTTTCCACTCGCCCTCATAGACCTAAGATTTCCGTAGTAGCTCAAGCCAGCAAGCATCGCCGGAAATTTACGACCTGTGGAGGCTCTTCAGTAAATATAGCAGCGCATCTCTTTTATCATTCACATCCATGCAGCACGAGATAACGAGTTCATTGTTGTAGAAGCGAGCCGCATCACCATCGCAATGCTCAAACCGTCCAATTCCGTTGGCCATGTCGTGCTGCCACTGTCCCTCATAGCGGGCTCCATCTGGCCATACCTGCAATGCGTCGCTTCTCCGGAGTGCAGCTAAACTCGGGCCGTGTGGAGCCAGTGCCTGCACGCCACTTCCGTGCCGCACAAGACCTCGAAGCTACAGTCCCATCAATCACCACTCTCTCACCTACGCCTCTCACAAAGGCACTGCTAAGCAGGGTGCCTAGCCAATCACCGGTATAGGTGGAGCCGTTTGCGAAGGTATGCTGCGGGCGCACCTGCGGTGAGTTGGTTTTCCAGCTCCTCACACTGCCCAACTGAATGCTCTCGGTCGCGATGGTTGCCACGCCTGTGCCTCGAATTTGTCCCCTCCTGGCAAAAGCATCTGTGAGCTCTTCGATCTTGTAGCTCCAGTGGTCAGAATCTTCACAAGTGAAAAGCTAGAAGAGAAACGTGCAAGGTAGCAGCCGGCTCCTGCATTGGAGTAAGTAGCGCAGACTTGCAAGGATGCGCGGCACTGTGGCAGTAGAAGATCCTTGAGAAAGTCATCGCAGCTCGTCGTGAGGATTGAAAACAAAGCACATGTCATGCACGGAATACCTCACCCGGCTTGGTGCAGCAAGCTGCATTCTCAAACTCTTGGTCGGTGTGGATGTAGCAACCTCGTTTATCTTGCCAGGCCACGTCTTCAGACTTCAGCTACGGGCACGACATAGAGTCTACTTCACAGAGATAGCGAAGGCCGGGGTGGTTCACGAGGCGATGCATTCAGCCTAGTTCATGCTGTCCAGGAGCATTGATCAAGCATCAGATGGCAGATTTCCGGCAGCTATGCATCTGCGACGGGTGCGGTGGTCCACTTGTCACATCGAGTCTTGGCATCAAAAACAGCATTCTGAGGATGGGAGCTGATAATGTTAGGACTTGAGTAAAGTGAAAAGCCTCGGCAAGTCTGTGCATGATCTGAACACGCGGCAACCCCTTCAGGGTTCGCGGATCGGACTTGAGCAGCGGCAGTGGTGGCAGGCGACGAAGGACGCAAGTGAACGAGTTCTGCACCACATCCTCCGGTGCCTCCGACTCCCAACTTTTGTCTGCCGTTTCGGTCGAAACTTGACCCTCAGGCCATGAGGCGGCTTATGCCGGAGCTGCGCGTGTCTAACGGGAGGCAACGCTTGGTCTTGTCTTGCGTTGTCCTTTATGTACAACCAGCGGCGAAGGGCAAAGACCCTGAGCCTGCTGTATTTGGAGTGAAACGAAGAGCCATGCTCGGCTCAGAAAGCTCCAGACTTTCTCGGTCGGGCCGTGTATTTTGTATCCTTGCGCACCTCGAAGGCAGGCGAAGGTGCAGTGCTTTCCGTGCACATATCGAGCCATGCAGACCAAGCACACCAAAGCCCTTCTTTCTTTGGTGTTCTTTTTTCTTGAGAACCTGTCACTAAAACGGCGGAACTGCAATCTGGTCATATAAACGCCAGCTCACCTCACCTCAACTTGCTCTGAAACCGGACCTTGTCTTTGTAGGTGTCCTGATTTTTGCCCTTCTTCTTGGACTCCCGTTCACGCTTGCTCACTGCGACCTGCAGCGCTTCCGAGCGCCGACTTGCTACATTCCCAGCCTTTGGGCTGTTGGGCAACGGTCATATCTTAGTCTGAAAAGCGCAAGGACCTGCTCGTCATCGTCCTCCATGGGCTGTGGCATGTTGGCTGGCTGCTCGCCAGATAGCCCAGCCTGCAGCCCAACCGGCTAAATCGGCTAGGAAGAGAGTCCATCCAAGCCGATAACCGCTGCGTCTAAGCGGCATAGATGACCAGGAAGTGCTTCTTGGCTTTCGAAGAGTGAGGATAATCCTTGGGACAATGCCCCAAACTGTGGCAACGCTGCTTTCAGCGCACGATCCCCTCACAGCCATTGCCTTCGCCCGTCAGAGGCAGGTGCAAGGAATGGGAAGACAAAGATTTCCCCACCCGACATCTCTCGTGCTGCCGGCTTTTTCGACACATCCACAACAAACCGCCCCTGCTCTGCAAGCTGGAGCCGGCAACTGTCATCAGATTTCACCTGCCGAGTCTCCACGACTAAGCCTCCTCCAAAGCCACAGCGCCTCGGCTAAGCTAAGACATCCATTGGCATGTAGCCGCTTCCACTTCAGAACATCACCGCCAAAAGGACAGCCCCCTGCCAGAATCGTTCCGAGCCGAGCCTACGATTACGACAGCCCTTCTGCCGAAACCACCCATGCTGCATCAGTGCAATCAGTTGGCAACGCTGCCGCGGTGATCATTTCGACCTGAAGGCCAACGGCTTCAAGCATATCACCTGGGACGCATCAAAACCATGAAAGACCCGACCTGCGTAGCGGTCTCGGGGTAGAACTGCAGGGCAGCCCGTGCGCCTTTGCGAAGGCAGCCTTAGCAAGGCTGCAGGCTCAGATTGGACATCGGACGCAAGGAGCAAGCTGCATCAACCATCAGAAAGAGCCAGTGCATCCGAGAAAACTGTAGAGCAGCTCGAAAAAGCGTCGGAGGCGCTTGAAGGGCTCGTGCCCCTTTTTGTCCTTGGGAGCGGCAAGCCAAGCTCCCATCGGCTGCTGAAACAAACAAAACCAGCATCTTCGAGGGAGCGTCTACATTGCAAAGCCACTGCAACGCAGAGATGGACACGGCACCATCAAAGCTTCCCGGCCGGAACCTCATGCCTTGTCCTGCAGGACAACTCATCGACGGGCTGACACTCATGTAAACTTTTCCACCGCAAGTCCTGCGTCGGCTAAGCATAGATCCCCATCAACCTGTTGCAGACATGAGGACTAGCCAGTGTAAGCTTGAAAGCTTACACACCACAGCCATGTGCGAGTGAAACCGCATGGGACACTCTCACTCCATGATCACAAGGAAGCTGGCCTCTCGTTGATGAGCAATCCTTAGCATTGAAGGCGAGATGTCATAGCCGATCCAAATGTGGCCAGCCTCACCTCGGCAAGCTCCAACGGCGAGTGCGAGTGCGAGGCGAGACAAGTCGGCACAGGTTCGTCACTTTACTTTAGAGTTTGGAAGTGCATCAGATGCTGCAAGACAAACAAGTTCTTCCTGATCCACAGCATCTCGACAGACGATACGCTGTTTTGAACACGTACGCAAACTGCTGGATTTAAAACAGCCGGGCAAGTGAAAACCGGTCGAGTCTCTGATGGTCTCGCCACCTGAGATGCGAGGGCATGCCCGGAATAAGGGACCGGCACTGCAGAAGTGTAAATTCTTGAGGCGAGAATCTGATTCCCGAGCCGCATCCGATATCCAGGAGTAGACAGGGTCTGTCTGGTAGCAGCAGCAGCTGCAATGCACGTTCGGTCATCCTTCTGCAGGAAGTTGGCAATCCAATCCCAGGGCTTGCGTGGATGTGCCACCAACATACTGTAATACAGCCGTACATGCAGCAGTAATAATGACTTTGCGTCATGCTGGTTTCAGTCTACTGCCACGTCCTTGTCTGGATTTCGATCATCCGGCTGCTGGTTGCATACCTGGCAGACCTTGAAGCAAAGTCTACGGAAGCTGCCAGGCAAAACGGGCTTGTCAACAATTCGCCCGTCGCGCTCAGATTCCCAAGCTGTGCACTCCTCATCATTGTAAAAGATTTCGGGAGGAGCCTCGTTGACATATCGTGCAGCCCGCAAATGACAAAGATCTGCCGATCAAGGTTTCGGCCTGATGTTCCGGGCGGCTCATGCTGAAGCTCAGCAGCAGCGTGCTGACTAACGGGGCAACATACTTTGAGCCAAGACTTGCTGCATGGCTCCGATTCTCTTCGGCTTACTGCTTACTCAAGCCAGCAAGCCGAGTTCTGGCGACTCCAAAGCATAGAGGCACAAGACCCCACGAGTCCGTGCCGCGAAATTGAAGCACAGCGAATAATTGTGGGTTCTGCGGTGATCGTTGCAGCGCCTCAACGTGCAGCAGTGCCACATGGGTTTTCAGCGTGCATCCTCGCCTCGGGGCCATGTGCAATGTCGTCCACAACCCAAAACTCACTCAAGTGCGGCGGCTCGGTCAACACCACGTCTGCTATGTCGGGTTAACGCATTTCCCAGCACATCTCAGCTGAGCACGGAAGCTGTCGAGCTGACTCCTGTACAGCCTTGGAAGGACCAACGCAAGCTGAGGAGAGCAGCAGCGCACAACGGAATTAAGCCCTCTGCGCTCTTCAGGTCGCCCCGATAGAAGCGCCATGAGGGAAAAGACCTGGGCTCCGATTGAGCTGCCAAGTATGCCATCGGGAAGGAAAAGAAGGCAAATGCAAGGCATGTCCCTGCGAGGGAAGGCCGTCACGCAATCTGCGGATGCATCCGGTACTGTTCGCTGAGAAACTGCACCTGGCCGAACTCGCTGTCTTCTCTGACTCTGACCACCCATGCATCTGAGCCAAGAGTGCTCTGCCATCGATGTGCCTCCATGCCCATGGACAGCAGGCGGTCAAACATGGAAATATCCAAACCTTGACGACCCAGCAACATCCATGCACATCTGCAGAAACTGCAAACCCAGACCGAGCTGAGCCCTCGGCCGCCCTTCTGAGCCTCCTGACAGGTTGCGATCTCGACTTCTTGTGGTCCCTTGGCCCATGTTCGTCGTGTGTCTCGGGGCCTGGGACAAGACTGTAGCGGGGAGCTGACATTGATCACCGACCTGACAAGGGCTCGACGTCTAGCACCAACTTTCGCCACGCAAGCGAGCAACGAGGCCGGTGCCAAGACTGCCTGCACGGCGCCTTTGCCCAGGGGCAGGATCACCGCGGGCCTCACCACCGACGTTCACAAAATGCCAGTCGAATGTTCTAACTTCAGATTCAGGTCTGTAGGCAGGCGGGGATGCAGGCAGGCGGCAGGAACCCTATGATGGGTGGAGGTGGGTGGTGGCAGTTGCATGGCTGGGTAGGCTGAGAGGTTGGTGGGCAGTGTGAATGTTCTTTTCGGGCTCCATCGCTCAATGCAGCTCGTTCGGCTGCACCTACTGTACCTACTGCCACTAGACGACACTGGCCGGAACTCCACCTGTCACAGGTTACAGAGTCCAAGGCAGAGTGACTTTTGATCAACCTCCGGAACCAGATCCTCTTGCAGCTTGCATAGACTCTGTTGCATGGTTAGGTTTCCGCAGGACCACCCGTTGCAGTCCTTAAATATGTTAGCTTGCGGAAGTCGAGCACTTCGAAAGTTCAAGTTCAGGAAGGTTCCGGCAAACCTAGCTACAGTCGTCAGATTGGCGAAGATACGCAGGCGTCTCGAGGCCGCGCCCAGTGAATCAGCAGAAAGTTCACCTATCAATATCAAGATGTTCGGACTCATGCCGTCTTGCTGAGTATGTGAGTGAATATGTGTTTACATAGAAACATGCACACGTGCCTGCACATGTGCGCTTTGCACGAGAAAGCTGATGTTCTGTCTGTGGCGTAGTTCGTCGTGGCCACCTTTGAAGCTTGGCTCCCCACCGCGCGCCGCGCACGCAGGGTGAAGCCGGTACGCACTCAGGGTGAAACGGTTTCTTGTTTTAGATCTATGTACAAGCCTTTCGTCATAATGCACGCGTTCAGAGCAGGTGCAGGAAACTATGCGATGCTGCGATATCTTAAATGATGTAGGGTTGTGCCACATCTTTCCTGCAGCCGCTTCAGGGTGCGAACTAAAGATTTCGGAGGAACCTGAAACATATCTTTTCACAGGCCCGTGCGGCTCAGGCAATGAAGGCTCGAATTCGTTTGCTAAAATGAAGTTGCGACATGGCCCAGTGGCAGCTGTCTGCAGCCTTCTCTCCGTAGTTACCGCAAGCAGGCCAACCGAAGCTGGGACTAGTTCAGGAATCTTCCCATGCCGTTGGAAGAGCATCCTGCCCGTGTGCGAAAGTGCAGGCGTCGCCTGGGTCCATCTTGAGAAACAGCTGGAGATGATGAAGTCGCTGACACAGGTGTTTTTCCCTCCTACCTAGCAGCTAGCAAGGACGAAGCACAGGTATGCCAAGGAACCTTTAGTACATTTGCCCTCCTGCCAGAACTTGCAAGGAGTCAACCGCAAACAGCTGCCTTGGAAAATGGCGTGGCATCCATCCGGAAACAGGACCGCACAAGATACGCGCCAGAATGATCACGTTTGCGACCGAGTGACTGAGGTCAGATCGGCGCGAAGCTGAAGCGAACAATCGGGCCATCTCCGTGTTGATCGGCTGGCCCAGTTCCTGTGGTCGTCACTCCGAGTCACTCCCAAAGACCAAATCCCCAACAGACAGCTTTTCGTAACATCGCAACTCGGCATCCCAGTGCGGCTGCGAGTCTTGCTCTCCATGAGCAAAGGTGCATCCCGGGCCCTGTTGCAGAATCGCTAACAGCAGGGGCCCTTTCGAAGCCATTGCTCATTGCAGCCGAGCCTTTGAGCACTTGCCATCTTGCCAAAACTTGCAGATGATTTTCTTCCTCGCAGCAAGAGCCAAGGAATCTTGTTGCGAGGAAAGCAGGGTTGAATCTTGCGAGGTTCTTGCAAAGAATCGGTCCTGGAAACAGTTTGATCGTTGCCTTGCCCTTTCCCTGTAGGTGCCCAGCTGTCGTTGTGGATCGGCTGGCCTATCCTTCGCTGCATGTTCTCAAACTACCTTTGCGCAGCAGGCCTGTGGAATCACGTGCTTGCCAACCACTCCGGCACCAGTAAGAGAACCACCAGCAGACAGGATTATCAGAACATATCCGAACAGAAACCAATGATGCACCCAACAATGCACTCACTCGATCGACGTATTGCCGAGCTATCAGTCGAGACTCTCATGATCGCCATGAGCGAAGGTGCAGGCATCTCCCTTGGTGCATTTGTTTTCCTTGCGTCAGGCAACATCTCGGCTCCGTGGCGACAAGCACCATGCCAACGCTCAGGGATGCACTGTCCACAAAGCGCTATGAATCGCTGAATGCGTCATTCCTACCTGCGTAAGTCAAGGACGAGCCTGCCAGAATTTGCAGAAGGTGCGCTTGACGGATGGATTGGCAGTGCCTGGTGCTTCCTTGGCTTCACTGCAGAGGCATTCGTGATCACCAGCCAGAGGGCGCCAACGAGTAGTGGCGAAGCGAAGAGTGAATTCAGCCCAAGAGCCAAAGGATCCGGCCTTTCCCGCTTCTCCGGCTTCTCCCAGGTCTCTGACGACTCTCTTCTCTGCAGTTTCTTTGGCTCCTGAGGTCTGCGACGGGCAGCATGCAGAGTGCTCCGGTGCCGGAACCCAGAATCAATGCGCACTCTGACTTGGTCTTGCAAAAGTCCTGCAAGTCTGCAGGAGGCGGCAGCGCAGTCAGACCATTCTTCCGGATTGCCTAGCACTTTTCACGACTTGGTTCAGATCTTAGAACGAAGCGAAAGACGAGTATGGACCGTGTGGCAAACAACTTCGGCGCAAGTAGAGACATCAAGCTCGGGAGGCGCTTAAGCTTCATATTCCACCTTGATCGTGTCCGGGATGATTTCGGGACTTGACAAACCTTGGCATCCCAAGGGCCTCGCTGAGATGCATTGTCTATGCGGCTGCGGCCAGGCAGCAAGATCCGACAGAATCTCCATCATTCATCAATACCATCTGAGCAGGCGTCCGACTCTATCAAAGACTCAGTCACTGACACGTTATCGGAGGCTTCACTTCTCAATGTCGTAGCTTCAAGTCTCACAACTTTCACTCATCTGGCACCGTGACATTTTCACAGTGGAAGGCACAGAGCAACTGCGAACTGGAGCAAACGCTGCTTCTATTTTCGATAAGCACTAACCTGCTTCAACGGCGCGATGTAAGAATCTCAAGTCCAGCATTGTGTAGTTGCAACCTTGAGGAGCTAAGATCGTACTGAATATCACCGACATTTGGACAGCTTGGCAGCTCATCTCACCAGATCCAATGTTTCAGCTTCGCAAGTCATGCACCTGCCTTCACTTGAAGATGAGGCCTCCGACTTAGCCTAGGCTGACACCGGGCATATGGCTTCTGTAAGTGTCTGTTACGCTCTCGCAAGTGTCTGTTGAGACGTTGTCCTCTTCGGCATCTTGACAAGCTGCTCCTTGTGGATGACGATCTCGAAATCCGCATCATCCAGGGCAGCCAGAGCCATCATGACCTGCAGGCACACGGTAAGAACTCTCAAGTCAAAACCAGCATGATCAGGCCAGCATTTTAGGGGCCAGGCTGCTTGGAGAGCCTCTTCAGGAACTGAAGGCACTGGAGGTGGCGGCGGGGGCAGGGGAGGCGGTGGCGATCGCGGCGCATTCAACACACCTCGAAGAACTGATCAAGCGCATGTCTCAGACAAAACGCTCCATGTTCCTTCTTCCTTCGGACGGCACAAGGTGATGCTTGCAGCCGGGCAGCAATACTTCGGGAACCACCCACTTTCTCCAGCTGCGCTTCCATATAACCAATCGGACTCTTCTTTGCATCCTAACCAGGGAAAATGGCGACAGCTTTCATGCTCAGTGATGCCTGACTGAGTCCGCAGTCCTATGTACTCGATCGTCACTTCTTGCCCCAACCTGAGAAAAATGCTTTGGCCCCTCAGCATGATTCATGCCATCATAAGGACACATCAGGAAGGCAGCGTTAGATGCCATCACGACGCTCCAAGCCCAAGTACCCTGCATCTGGGGCCTTGTACCTGCAGCTGGCACGACCGGCTGTAAATGAGGTGGCTGGTGCAGGTCATACGTGGCAACAACGCCCCACCCGCAAACAGTTCACAGGATGTGACAATTGCTGCCCAGATGCGGCTGAAGCGAAGGGAGCCGATTCCCCAGGCTCAATGCCATCTCTCGCAGTCTCGCGGGCTACATTGCCATCTTGCTTTGTTCAACTTCAACCCACCCACGCCCAACACATGCCACGAAAAAAAAGTTCCACGAAAAAGAACCAGCCGAACAAGCTTGTTTTCTTCTCTTCCAATTCCAGCTTTTCCTGATGTATCGCCCTCCGTCGCCCATGCACTGCGAGCCGAAGCGCCTAAACGAAAGTAGACTACCTGAACGAGCGGTGACACCTGCCTTTCAACCGTCCCGTGGTATCAAAGCTTGGGCGACGGGAATTCTCGATCAGGAGGAAAACGGCTTCTCTTCAGCATGAACGCTGCAAGTTCGCACAGGCAGCTGTGTTGCCGGCTCGATGACTTGCGCAGCTTCGTCGATGACTATCTGAGAGGTTGCGGCACGAAAACATGCATGCACGAGAGCAGATGACCTTGTCTGCCACACTCAGCCGCAGGCAAAGGGAAATTTTATCTTGTCCAAAGGACCCATTCCGCATCCGATGCAGGTTGCACACACGACCTCGGTGCTTCAAACGGTGACTGGCGCTGCATGGCTTTCGGGAGTCACGTCTCTGGCATCTGGCAATCTCCGTGCTGATGGTCTCTTTTCGGCAGCTTGTTGCGCCATCTCAAAGTAGCCGCTGTAATCTATAAGATAAGTAAGACTTAGTTATGGAGAACTGCTCGAGGTACGAGTACAAGTCTTCTCAGCTTCACGATGCCGATGTCGACGAGGACATCTCCAGGCTACGTCACGAAAAACCCTGTAGCTCTCTTCCAGCTTTCGAAGGACTGCTCCGACCAGCGGTGGATCAGCCTCGTGACGCTCTCTTGACCTCCTTGTGCAGGTATCTGCGAATCTGCGAAGCCATGTCGCGAAGTGCTCCCGGTTGCCGAGGCAACTTCTGGGGTTTGCAACTTCGACCTGAACCATTCAACATTGCATTCCGGCTTCTTTGGACTCTGCTAAGTAGCCTGCTCCTTCAATCGCTGGAGCCATTGGAAGACTTTCGTGGCTAATGCTATCTCCCCTCTTCGCTTATCAGGGTGCCACTCTAAAAACAGCTGGCGAAGGAGTCGTTGTCTGTCCTCTGCCTCTGCACATGATTGAGCTCGCAAGTCCTTCTTAATTGACGCAACCACTGCTGAGAACTCCGTGTCATCTTCACCAGCAAGATCAGGAAAGTTCCATGCGAAGCCGGGAAGAATCTTGGGGGGAATGCGGGAGTAGCGAACTGGCGATGCCTCACGCTGGGAAGGCTGCGGCCCGGCATCCGGTCCCACGTCCTCTCCTTCACCCGTGGCATAGTCGGCGCCGATGTTCTCAAGCTTGGCATCCGGAAAGTATTCTCTCCACTTCAGAAACGGGTTCTGGCGTCCGGGTGGAACTGCCAAGTCTTCTGCGGACTTAGCCCCTTGAGCGAGGAGTTGTCTCACCATTGGCTTCGCACACTTTGGATGCCCCGCGCGAACACAATGGCGGCCTATGTCTAGAGCAGTGTATGTCTTGTACGCTGCCGAAAGAGACCACTCGCGACAAATCACGTTGACATCGAGGAGGTGGCGGAAGCCGAGCAGAAGGTCGAATGCCTCTTGGTTGCCCTCCTCAACAGCGACCATCAATGCTGTCTTTTCCTCGATGAAGTAAAACCGGGTCCGTGCCTCACAAAGGAAGCCCAGCCTTGTGCGAGACAGCAGAGACAACTACACGAGCACCTGCAGCTATCGGTTTCGGTGGCATGGTCTCATATCGCCGAGTGACTTTTCAGGAACGATGGTGTTCGGATTCGAAAGCCTGTGTTCGACGGCGGCTCGAAGTTGCCCCAGCAAGCTGTGGCGAACTAATCTCACCAGCTCGCGATCTTCATGGTAGAGCGATGGCAAACGCACGGCGGCATAGGGTGGTGCTCCACCACCGGGCTTTATCCTTTCATCGTGACGCACCGCACGATAAAATCTGACCGCCACGTGCAAGCTCTGAGACAGTGTGGCCAGGTTTCTGCATAATTCGCTTGAAATCTTCATCTTGAGCCGGTGGATTCACCAGAAAGCTCAGCTTTGCATTTCGGGCGGCCACCTGAAAGGCAAGTGACAAGCCACACAGCAACCAAAACTTGCGCTTTCTGCTGTACCCTCTGGGCTCAAGCCTCCGGATGGGCGTTGTGCTCCTTGAAAGCGGCCACACTTTGTGCAACGCCACGACGCGACGGCTGAAACCCGAAGCGCTGCAGAATTGGGTATTGCACCTTTCGGGTAGCATGATCTGTTCTTTCATGCTGGGACAAGTCTCCATAGCTCCTCTAACTAAGACCAGATCCGGCCTGAGCACAGGCCTCCTGGCGAGCCTTGACCTGCGACGCACTGCGACAGGACGCAGAGCAGCATCTGTGTCATGGAGAGAGAGGCAAAGAAGCTCAGCTCCTGACCTGCAGAAGCTCCGTGCCGCCGGCAGCCTCCCAGCGCCGATGTAACTCTGCCTTCAGGCTCTGGAATGCGCTCTTACTGAGGCTGCGTCGTAGTTGAGGGGCCTTGCCTGAAACTCCTGCGCAGAGTATCCGGCAATCAACATATCCTGCATTTGCAGCGCTTCATCCAGTGCGAGCTTTGGCAGCCCCTGCCCAGGCTTGCATGGGGGCGGTCCTGACACAGGCTGTTAGGTCTGGCAGACATCGCAAAGGCAGTGCCGTTGACGGAGACTCGATGGCACTGGCACTGGACGTTACAAGAACATTTCAAGCTCAAACCTACTGGCCGCCGTGCCTGGATCTGGAACAGCAGAGCAACATTATGTGGGTTCTCAGGCTCCCCGCATAACCCAGGCCCACCTCTTCCAAAAGGATCGACCATCCACCAGAGCGCGAACAGAGGGGCGAGAGCTCATGTCAGGGTATCATGTTTCGGATCTTCGAACTTTGATACCAGACATCTTCATTGCCCGATAGCTCCGTGGATGACTACATCTCGCATCAGCATGGAGGTAGTAGGGACAGAAAACGATGCCCAGCACCCTCAGAACCCAGACGGGACACGAAGGCCAGCTGAAAGTGAAAGCACTTGGGAGCACAACACACACACGCACACACACCCATGCACGCACAGACACGCAAAAACACGCACAGACACATACGCGCGCACACACACATACACCTCGTTTGATTGAATTCGCTGAAATTCGGCTGTCAGGACGAAGAAATATGAAGAATCTGCAATCGTTTCTGCCCAAACATGCTGAAAGCTTTGCCTTGAAGGGCAGCCATTGTTGAGGCGGAGATCCAGGCTCGGTTCCTCAGCCGCGAAAGGGTGTCGACGGTTCGCTGCACTCACACCATATCGACAAGACTCAGGTCATCAAAACTGTCGCAGAGCTCGGCTTGCAAAGAGAAGCCATCACCATGAAAGACCTCCAAACCTAACATAGGGCACTCAGGGCACATCTTTTCTGGACACCTACTTTCCTTGTGGCTAAGTCCAAGAAGCTTGCTAGGGATCGCCGCAGCAAAGTCACCTCCCTGGATCCAGCTTGGACAAAGCGGCAGAAGTCTTGCATCTCCACGACGGAGAAATGCTGCGATGACCTTGTGGTGGACATTAACGAGCATGCAAGTGGATATGAAGCAAAGGCATCGCAAACTTATGAAGGCTAAGCAGCAGCTCTGGCACTTCCACGTCCGTCTTCGACAGACCGTGGCCGGCCAAGTGCAGCAAAGCACGGGTGAAGCAAACCTGACAAAAAATCCAAAGGACGAGGCAAACACAGACACCAGTAGGCACAGAACAGACAGTTCCCAAGAAGGCCTCGTTGCACACCTGCCGTCTGCCCTCCAGGAAGACTGGATGGACTACGTAGCCCCGTCCGTCGCTCCACCGCCAAACACGTGCTTTCTGCCGCAAGCGAAGTTCGGACGAGCCGGCGGCCTTGCCAAACTACAGGGTCCGATTGTCTATGCTGCCCCTCAACAACCGCTCTCGCGGCAGAATGGCATGCAAATGCGGGTCGGTTTCCGTAGGAAATATATCGGAAGCAGACAGAACAAGAAGAAGACATTAAGACAGAGGGAGCTGGCAGAGATCTGAAAACAACACAGCGACAATCGAAACACCAGGCTCCATGCGTGTTCAGTGTGGCACGGCTAAGACAAGTGCGTGCGCGGGCTCGGCGTGGTGCGTTTGTGCTAGACGCGTCCGTTGTTCAGAAACGACTTTTTGGTTCGAGATCGTCGCATTGCATGTTCACGCTGTAATGGCCAGTCACGATCGGGTGGGAGGTTAGTCTCATAAGAATACTTCGCAATTACGCTTCGACTTGCTTGATGTGATGCATCTCCAATCGCATATCTCCTATCATAAGGGATGGGATCCAAAGGACCTATCCAAATCTAATTGCCCATGTGTAGTCGAGAATGTAGCAGCCGGTATTCTAGGCAGACGCCCTCGGAAGACGGGTCCTGGACTCCGTTTGTTCTGCAGAAATCGATATCCTAAGCAGGACCCTTCGATACCATTTGGGGACTACAGCTACTTGGCTCGCTGTCAGACCAGGACGTTCGCACGAATGCAAAAGCCGGCAGGCTTGCAGCCTTTGAAGGCTGATTGCAGCGCACGTGCACGCGCCCCTTAGGGCGAAGCCTTAGCTTTTGCGGGCCTGAATTGTGCATGCCAGGAGAAAGACGGTTTTTCTGCTTGGTGCAAACACGGATTTCCAGACGAAAGCTGATGTCTGTGACAAGTTTCGCGACTATAGGTTCACAGATCCACAGCGAGAGCTGTCCCAAACACCGTCGAGCCGTCTGCTTCGCTTGGAATAACATTGTGATCGTGACAAGCACTGCTTTGCAAACAAACAGATTTGCCTACCGCAAAGCGACACATCCGGGATATCGGGCATGTTCGGGCAAGCAGGGGCACTTCAAACAATGCTTGAATTCTTTCATTGCTGCGCAAACTCGCACTGCATCACACTACCCTTTCTGCCTCGGCGGTCTTTGCGTGGCTGAAAGGGCCAGTACG